TAGATTATCCCACCCAATTAGCGGCATTTTGAAATTTTTTACTCTAACATTTTGTTTTTGGTTACATAACGTCAGGTCATATATTGGCTTGTTTTATTACTATGAAAATATAACAATTGTTTTTTTTCCAAGTTTGACTTTAATTTGTTTTCACATTTTGTTGTACTACCGAAACACAATGCCAGAATGGATATGCCCGAATATGTGTGTCTTATACAACGAATCAAGTCCCAGCACAGGGATATTTTCTCTGGAAATTCAAATGAAATTCGTTATTCTTTCCCTACGACGGTGTTTAATGGAAAGCACGTAATAAAATAGTGTATTTTTCCAAATCAGACTATAACAAAATTTAATTTCTTAAAAGTGTGCAGTTTTATGCGAAAACACACAAGATTAAATTGCACACTACAAAGCGAAAAAAAAGCTGTATATGTATTTTTCTTATTAATTGTATAAATTTTATTATGCGGATTCAACTCATTGAGCAGCAAGCAAAAGCAAAAGGATTGGATTTCTGCGAAACACTTGGAGAAAAAGTCGATTAAGGAGTGGATTGTGAGGGCCCTTGAAAGCGGGGTCAAGTGTGTTTTATTTTCGCCTGATTTATTTCGACCAAGCACCACCTATAACCAGCATGAATGACCACAAACAATAACAGAAAGCTAGTGGCAGGAACAATCACTTCAAGTCCAAATAGACTGCAAAAAAAGTAAAGCACCCCACGGAGTGAGGTTGAAGAAAATATTTATTTCTATACGAATTTAATCGGTTATTTATTTGTTTGTGAATAGCACATATGTATGTACATATATTTATAGCACTTCGCTTATTATTTTTGAACGCTTTCAACCAGAACCGCCCTCAAAGGGAAAAACAAATCAAAAGTTTCCTGCATTTTTGATGCGATACATCCCGGATAAATTCGCGTATGTGCTGGTTCTTCTGGCTAATTCAATGTGGGTCAAGTTTTCTGTTATTTTCGCCTCATTTATTTTGCACTTTTTCAGTACACAACGACGTCCACACCAGTGACCAAAAGTGACGGGACGGAAATTCGTGTAATACATACAAACATACATATATGCGACTCGATTCGATTCGGAGGAAATTGCCGCACAAAAATACATACGTGCATGCCACTCTATAAATGTTGGAACTCGCCCGATGCCCCATGTCCGATGCCTGGTTGAATCGAGCCAATTGCCGGGAGCTTCATCGAAACAAGAACGAAATAATTTCAAAAACACAATATTTAAATGCATTTAAGAGTAGGGTAGGGTATACCTGACTATAGGATACCCGCTACATAGATTTAATGTTTTTGTTTGCAATTTAGGTATGAACAAATCCCCTCTCAATAGGAGTTGATTATATTTAAATAATAAACTTTACAGGAAAATCAGATTGCATCGAGAATGCACAGAGTTCTATTCCATGCAATTGCATCTGGAGCTCAGTGATTAACTGATGTGTGTGCGTGCATGTGTGACCTCCAGTGGGCGATGTGCGGGTGGATGGGTTTCGAGTGCATTTCGGTGAGTGTCTGATGATGTGATTAAAACATTGGATTTAATGAGCCATGCCCCAGTATCCACGATGAGGTGTTGATTCACTGCACAGCGATGCAGACCAAACTTTTAAGACTTTAATGCTGCTGCGATTTCCGATATTTTCAGAAGCGTAAGCGTAATACATCATATTGTAGGTTTTTAAACACTGCTGCATATACATTTCTATACATAAGATATTGTTAGCTTCTTTTCATGGAAGTTGGGCTCCGGCTCCTGGCGCTCGATCTTCTTATAGTTGTGCTTCTGGGACTCGATATGCATATCAATATCTCTAGCTGATACACAGCCACTAAACAAATAGTCTGTAGCAACGGTAGCCAACAAAAAACCCTGGGCTGGCCAAAAGTTCAATACATGCGTAGAAGCCCCTGATAGTAAATATCTTCCATGAATTTCCAGAACTTCTGAACCAACTACTATTATATCGGCATCTACATATGTATGTATCTCTTCCATAAGCTGTGCTCCACTGCACATACATACATATATCTACATACATATATATATATAGATAAAGCAATGTACATATGTACACATCCTCCCAATGAATACGCTTCAGAAAAACTATTATCCGGCGTTAACTTTTCCCAAATTTGATATATTAAGGATCTGTACAGTACATCCCATGGACACTGGTATATCCGCGAATCGGATATACGAGCAGACTGGACTTCCGGACTTTGCTGGCGGACTGGACTGCCGGATTGGAGTACCTAATCCGCATGAGATTTCGCCGCAGGCCCCAAATGGGTTCTAACTGGGATTGGAAATGGAAATGGAAATCCAATTTCTATGGTGAATGCAATCAATTATAAATTTGTAAAAGCCAACAGCAGCCAGGACACTGACACAACGCATCTGTGGCATGTGGCATGCGGCAAGTGTCAGGCTGTGTTCGTTGTTCCTTGCATTCGTTTTTAGATTTTACAAATTTAATTGCATTTGTTTATACGAACGACCATACGCAGAAACATAGGGGCCAGCGGCCAAATGGAGTCGTCTCTACAGAACAATTGGACGTACGGAGCACTCGTAATCATATTTGTATAGCTGCCACCTCCTCCTCTCCCCCCTAGAGTACATTGTGTGAATTTTTCCCAGACTATTTGTGGTTTTTCGGTAGATTTCGGGGCAATTTATTTGCTCTACGATTATTCAAATAGACAAACCAACCACAGCCCAGCCCAGCCCATCCCGAATGCCAGTGGCCGAGAATGGCAATGACATGTCTAGTAGTTGTTTTTATTTCCATATTTTCTGAGCAGTCGAGTATTAAAATAACCCCCATGAGGTGGACCGCAATTGCAACTTGCATATTCTCACTGCAGAGGAAATTAGAAACTCTTCGAGCTAATGATTATTCGATTGTCGTCTAGGATCTCTGATTGGATTGGAATTCAGAGCTTGATTAAATGCAACAGCTTTAAAGATTTTTAAGGAAAAAGCATCTCGGCGTTTAAGTGTTCACTGGATCCAAATTTAGTTCCTAACCTCCATTGAATCCCCAATCATGAGAGACTTCTTAGCTGCTATATGTAGTCGTAGATAGCTTCATCTAATACTCCATTGACTAACAGGACTACTTAACCTACTCGTAAAGCTGCTGAAAGTGAAAGGTGTCCACTTTGGAGTGACCTGAAAAAACTTCAATCAAAAACTTCAACCTAGACTGCAGTCCCCTCAAAACGATGAAGAAATATGTGCGTACCCCACCAAAAAAAATTTAATGGCCATTCATTTTAAACCGGTGCAAGCTCGTGAAAAACACAATAATTCTTAGCAAATGACCCGCCATGAAAGTTTAATGGCCAATTTAACTGAATGCAATTTCCCAGCCAGGTGATAATGCCTAGAACACATGTTAAGGCCAGGGGAGAATTTAAAGCCTGACCCGCGTGAATGCGTCAACCTTACGTCCACCCATCGGATGGAACATTCTCCAAATGCGTCAGGAATAGGAGGAAATACATGGGATAAGCATGGGTCAAGCGACTACTTCCACGATAAGGCGACAACAAAGCCACTAAAAGCGATTCTACAGGACCCTCTAATGACCCATGATGAACCCACATACATATATGCACATCCGTTCCACCCTACTTCTGGGCGCTTTAACATTGTAATTCCTTCTCTTCTTTGCTATTCAATTTCAGAAAGCACTTTCTAGCATTGCGAAGAGGACTACAATGTCTGCGCTAATCTCGCCTCCAAAACGGGGGCGAACTGAAAATTTCACTTAAACGATGGGCGTGTCATTTTCAGTGGAAGTTTGCTATTCAAAGCACTAATTGTGTCTAATAATGGCCATGATACCAAGTGGAAAGCTGAGGGATAAGCTAACAGGAAAAATCGAGGGAGAAAAAACGGCCAAAGTAATCAGCCGTATTTTATATTACAATAATGGCTATATGGCATTAGACTTTGCTGACTGTCTAACTCCAAAAACAGAGATAGGCCTATGGGAAAAGCATGCAGGGAGAGCTTGTTGGCTGCCCCAGATATTCGACTCGACTGATAGCCGGGACACTTGACTGGACTCTGGTCTCTCATGCTATCTCTCTTTTCACAGAAAAGTTAGCAAAGATTAATGTTATATCACCATAGTGTAATATAAAATCGGGTTTATATAATGCAAAAAGTCGTACCATTGGAGCAGCAGTTCTCAAAATAGGACACATAGGATACAAAACGAGGAGGATCGTCGTGAGCCGCTGTTCTACTTACTCTACTTACCCGGTACTCAGTCAGTATGGCTCTCCTCCATCAGAGGGCGTAAACTCTACGATGAAGAGTGTGTGTGTGTGTGTGAGAGAGAGAGAGAAAATGAGAAAGCGCGTGGCCAGGGGTAGCGTATCCACTGCCCTTTCATGTGTTCCTTCCGAAATCGGCAATCTGCTAGATATGGTCATTCTATACGATTCTGCGCACAGACAGACATTTCTATATCGACTCGGTTACTGATGATCAAGAAAGTATATACTTTATGCAGTCCGAAACGCTTCCTTCTGCATACTTCCACTTCCACCACAAATCAAATTTACCCCTATATTGATTTTTTGTAACGGGTGTAAACGTTTAAAAGAGACTATTCAAACCACACAATTTGCTATTATTGGAGTGTATTTAGTCTTAGCCTATTTTCGAAATTAACTTGAATGGACTCTGAGATTCTGGCAGCACTGATGATTAGGTGTGATTATTCTTGTTAATTTTTTAATGAATTGGTTTACTTAAAAGTATTTTCATAAAAGCTAGAATAAAGAGATAATGCTAAAAAAAAAATAGCTACACTTTAAAAAAAAAGCTAGAGCTTTCAAGAAAAAGAGCCAGATGGGCAACGCTAACCAGATGACATTGACAGTAGAAAAAGCTTTTTATTTATTTTTTTCATGAAATCGTGTAATGATATGAAGAATCAGTCGTGAATGACCTGCTCACCGAGAATGGCACTGAAGTTCGCAGCTAACTTGAATTTCCTCTTCACCGAGAAGGCGTCCACTATAGCGGAACGCATTAGGCTGGCCCACCAGAGCGGATTTCGGGCTGTGGAGATTCCCTACCCCGAGGGTGAGACCCGGGATGTTGTGTCGGCGATCCGGGAGACCGGCGTTGTGGTCAGCCTGGTCAATCTGGCCTTCGATAAGAGCAACGATCAGCTGCGGTTTGGCTCGACGAGCGTTCCCGGGGCGGAGGGCCTGTTCCAGAAGCAGCTGGACGCGACAATCGACTTTGCCAAGGATGTGAACTGCCAAAAGATCCACCTGACTGCTGGACTGCTCACCAAGGGCCAGGAGACCGACTACACAAAGACCTACACATCGAACCTGAAGATCGCGGCTGATAGCCTCAGGGCGAATCAGATGATCGGCGTGATAGAGCCTATTAACAAGTATGCTGTGCCTGGCTATTTCATGAACTCGTATGTGACGGCATCGGGCGTGCTCACCGAGGTGGGGGCTGACAACATCAAGCTGCTCGCCGACCTCTATCACCTCCAGCACATCCACGGCAATGTCACAAAGACGCTGGAGGAGTACAAGAGTCAAATTGGGCACTTCCAGATTGCCCAGGTACCCCATCGACACGAACCGGACACTGCCGGCGAACTCGACTACGACTACGTTTTCAAGCGGCTGCGGGAATTTGGCTACGATGGCTGGATTGGCTGTGAATACAAGCCGAGGACAACGACGGTCGAGGGCCTCAGTTGGGTTACCAAACTCGGTCATAGCCTTTGAGTTTGAATTGTATTCTGGCATTTAAATACATTTTTTATACATATACACATATAAAACATACATAAAACATTAAAGGATCTTGAGGTGCTCGAATGAATGTCAAAGAGAGGTCATGGAGTTGACCTACAGCATATGCGTGGAATAGTACAACAGAAAGTACCCACAAAGAATATACACAACGATTAGATAAGATTAGATAGAAAAGAGATACTCGTAGACCAAGCAATAACAACCAGTCTCAAGAAGATTCTCTGGGAATTCTTCTTTCCCTCAAAGACCATCATCAATCATCAGCGTGGCTGTCGTTGCGGTCCTTCTTGAGAACATGTCTGGCATACTCCGCTATGTGGAGGACACCCAGCTCCGGCGACGCGATGTGTAGATTGTTGCCATTGCAGTACTTCGTGTTGATGTACGGATTATGCAGCTCTGTGATAAGAGTTGAACAGGCCGTGGATGAATCGCCCGTAGACTTCAGCATTTTCTACGAATGAATAATAGATGAAAGCAACTAAGAGTGCGGATATTAGTGTTGTAAGCGTTGCACCTACCATCCAGAACTCATTTCCCGGCAGGGCATTTCCGTCCCAGGCATAGGAGACCACCAACAGCATATTAGCATGCTCCGGACTGGAGAGCTTCTCGGCTGGATTTCGTTTGGAGATGTGCACGCGAATGCCGTCCGCCGGATGGCCGTCGGTATCGATGACGGCGCCATTGAACAGACGTCCGCAGCTGGTGAGGCTGAACCAGGAGAAGTGCACCACACCTATGTGGGTGAGACGCTTACCCAGCTCGCGTAGGCGCTGCTCGAAGGTCTCCAGAAAGATGCGCTCCTGCTGCGTCGCCACTTTCCATACGCCTAGACCGAAGCCAACGACATGAATGTAGGCCTGCTTGCCGGCCTCTTGAGCGCGTGCCTGGGCCTCGAGCAGCAGCATGTCAAAGCTTATGGCATAGCGCCGCTTCATCACCAGATTGTCGAAGATGTCTTGCTTGTTTCTTGAGACGCCGAAGCGCTGATTGTCAATTTGGACATCGGCGTACAGACAATCTTGCGTCTCGTAAAAGTTTCGCCAGATGCGGCGATAGTCCTCGGCTTTTGTTGAGGCCGGCTCGTCCAGGTCCATGCCATAGCCATTCTCTGCAGTGTTCTGTGTACGCGCGATGACAATGTCCTGGAACTCCATCAGATTGCGGCGCGATAGCCGGGCCCCAATGAGACCCATAATGACACCTTCTGGCTCTAATGTCCGACGATCATGGGTAACACGACCGCAATTGGCCCTCTCGCCTTCGTTGATGAACTCCGTGTGCGAGCTGACCGAAAGCAAGGCAGAAAGCTTGACATCATCGTAGCTGAGGACGTTTTTCAAAACAAGTGGAGCTTTCTCCGCTTTACTGCCGATGGGTTCAAAGCCGCTAGCTCCACTCTCTCCAGTGAGCAGCAAGAATTTGTCGTTGCGAGCAAAGAAGCTGGCACAACGCTTCTCCAGCAGCCGCTGCACGAATCCGCAGAGGGAGAGCGGGTGGTAGACAGGTTGCTCTACATCGTTTCCTGATAAAAGGGGAAAAGATTTCGCAACGTGAAGTAATGGACACTCTTGCAACATGCTTACCCCATTGACACTTGTGCTCTAGGTACTGCAGATATAGTCCCAAGGTGCGCTCATGTATCACCGGATAGACGGAGGAGATGTGGCTGGCAATGCGTTCATGTCGTGCCTTCGGCTGTCTATTAACCCGGACACTTTCTACGCCAAACTACATGGCGATCAGAGTGGATTAGAGCGCAATATGCGAAACGTAAGTGCCAGCCACATACCGGAAGAGGAAATTCTCTGGATCTGTTTATAAAGTCGTCTATATTAGCAGGTCCACCACCGGGTTTCTTCACATCTTTGCATTGTCCAAGCAGCTTTCGACCGAACTTAGTCAGCGCTCGGGAATCGCCCGCAACAGTTGGCCAAACCTGATCAACGTCGGCTCCAAAGGTAGACATGGCTTAGCAATGGGAAAATGGGATCGATTTCACGTTTCCGCCTAATGGGAAGCTCTTGGGGATTAGGCGCTTGCAATTTCACAATTGCATCTAATTGCAAAGGTCCGGCCTCTGGCCTTATATAGTACGTGAAACGCAAAAACAGTTTTTGGCAAAGTATCGATAATATCGATTGGGAATGAAATCTTTAGATCACATAATTCAACTTTTTATAAATGTTTTTAATACATTTTTGCAAGTTTTATTTTTTTTATGGTTTCTATAAAGGGTTTGCCATTTATCCTTGCGATAAAAAACGACTAGGCGCCAATTAAAACATCTCATCGCATCGAGCATCGATGTTTTTCTGCCAATGTTTACTGATGTTTTCCGATGTTTTTGCTGCTACCGATGTCGAGTGATGTATCGATGTTTTGCAAAACATCGATCAATTAATTTCAAATCTGTAAGCAGCAAACACAGCAATGCCTGCCTCATTTGAAAGCAATCCTTCGTGTTTTTGGGACGGTATGAAATAAACCTATCCTAATTTATACAAAATTGCAATGCAATTTTTGACGTTAATGGCATCTTCTGGGTGTATTTTGAACGGGTGTACTCAGCCTGCTAACATATTATGTCGAAAACGTAATAGACTTTCACCTGTGCGACTAAGCCGCATTTTGGTTTTTGCAAAGCATTAACAAATAGTACTTATTTGAAATATTAGTTATCTCTGATCTACAATGATATGTAAAAGACTGCTATGAAAGCATAAACATTTCTTTTATGTTAAAATTTTTTTCGTTTAGTCCTATGATATGTAAAAGACTGCTATGAAAGCTCAAGTTTAATTTTTCCTTTGTTGAATATTCGGTTTTATAATGAAATGGGAAAGTTTTGAAACATCGGTCATACATCGATGCATCGAAGAATCAATCCGATGTATCAATCCAACATCGATGTTTGCTTTTGACAACATCGATGGACATCGACATCGATGTTTTCATTCAAATTTACATCACTATCATCTGTAAACACAACTAACATCGCTTGCAATTACTACAATCGATAGAACGATTGAAAAAAAGCTGTTTTTACTTGAAAGCGAAAAAAGCGGAAAAATTTCTAAAAAATCCACAAAAAATCTGAATAATTGAGCTAATTTCACTTTTCTTAGCGCACAAGATTTTGTTGACGGAAAAAAGTCAACCTGTTTTAGAATTTCTAAATTATTCCATAAACTAGTGGTAGTATTGGCAAAAATCGTTAAAAAAAAAAATGATGGCCGGATATTGAAAAAATCCAGAATTCCTGCAATTCACAAATTTTTCCCGCATAAGGTCTGCAAAAAAGCCAGATCTGACGGGAAAAAAGGTAATCGGCAGCACTGACCACCCCACAAGAGAACTATCGTTTCATCGATTGACAACTCTGTTGCTGACAAAAAGTTAATGTTAATTTTTTTACAAGAGCGTGCGTGCAGTGCCCAGCCAACAATAAAACGATTGTTGAGATTGCTTCGCGCAACTGTAAGTGTTTCTCGCCAAACGTATTATGGAAAAGTATACTGAAAAGGTCGAGGATATGCGGTTGGGGCGCCCGCGCGCGGCAAAAAGGCCAATGACAAGCCACACACACAGACCTACACAACACCGAAACGAACAGACGCACATACACACGACACTCATACATACCTGGAACATGCAAAAACCGAAACACAAACAATTAAAAACTCAATTGAAAATGTATTAATTTTCTATTGCATTTTATAGCCCCGGAAAGAGAGCGCCATAAACCAGGGACGCCTGTGCCTGTGCCTTCACCGATACTACTCATTCCCACAGACGCCGACGTCGACGTCGACGCCGACCCCCCAACGACAGCAAAATGTCCGACTACAGCGACTTGGACCGCCAAATCGAGCAACTGAAGCGCTGTGAAATCATCAAAGAGAATGAGGTGAAGGGCTTGTGCGCCAAGGCTCGCGAGATTCTCGTCGAGGAGGGGAACGTGCAGCGTGTGGACTCCCCAGTGACGGTGTGCGGTGACATACACGGCCAGTTCTACGATTTGAAGGAGCTGTTCAAGGTGGGCGGTGATGTGCCCGAAAAGAACTACCTATTCATGGGGGACTTTGTGGACCGCGGATACTACAGCGTTGAAACATTCCTGCTCCTGCTGGCCCTTAAAGTGCGCTATCCGGACCGCATCACATTGATACGCGGCAATCACGAATCTCGCCAGATCACCCAGGTGTATGGCTTCTATGATGAGTGTCTCCGCAAATATGGCTCTACTGCCGTATGGCGATACTGCACGGAGATCTTTGACTACCTCAGCCTGTCGGCCATCATCGACGGCAAGATATTCTGCGTCCATGGCGGACTCTCGCCCTCCATTCAGTATTTGGATCAGATCCGTAGCATCGATCGCAAGCAGGAGGTTCCGCACGACGGCCCTATGTGCGATCTGCTATGGAGCGATCCCGAAGATCAAACCGGCTGGGGTGTATCACCCCGCGGTGCCGGCTATCTCTTCGGTTCGGATGTTGTCTCACAGTTTAACAGGACCAACGAGATCGATATGATATGTAGGGCCCATCAGCTGGTCATGGAGGGGTTCAAATGGCATTTCAACGAAACCGTCTTGACCGTGTGGTCGGCGCCAAACTATTGCTACCGGTATGTCATGTCATCTCAATCCATTCTGTTACTCTGCAATACTCTTATCTATCCTCTATCCTACACTCACTTGCAGTTGCGGCAATGTGGCCGCCATTTTGGAACTGAACGAGTACCTGCATCGTGACTTTGTCATCTTCGAGGCGGCACCACAGGAGAGCCGGGGCATACCATCAAAGAAGCCCCAGGCTGACTATTTTCTTTAAGACTACAACCACAGCCACAGTCACAGCACATCCACTACCACTACCGTAAGAGAAGTAGCTCCGGCAAGTACCAAGGACTTGCCTGGCTCCTCCGAACTTGACCTTTGACATCCATGGCGCCCGGTGTACGTTTTTCATGGGACGGTGCGTGTGTGTCCGTGTGGCCTGAAACGCCTCGATTTTGTTAGCCGGAAAAAAACAACAACAAATCCAGACTAAAATGAACTGCCTGCCTTCCCAAGCAACAACAAACGTGAAAAGCAATTTCGAATGCAAAAGAAAATCAATTTTTAGACTAAATTTAGCTAAGGAGATCATCCCAGTCGGGGATGAGCCACAGACGGAGCCCTCATCTACATCTACATCTGCATCCGCATCCGCACGTCCCTGTCTTGCTTTGGCAGCAGAAAAATACCCTTCCAAATATAACTTAAGCTCATACTCTGTCTTGAGTTGTTTTTTTTTCATGTCCCAGTAATTTTTTGCCCTTCATCGTTTTCTATTTTTTTTTTTTGTAACAATGATCATGTGCGTGGATGTCATTTGGTCTGTGACTGTGTGTGCGCATCGTAGAGACCAATACCATTATATTAAGCTAATACGTAATAAAACTAGATAAGCCCGGCCTCCAGCTTCTGTGAATTCGCTTGGTGAAAGCAGCAGAACCAGCAACACCATCATCGCTTGCTGTCGACGCTGCTGTCTTCACAAAGCGAATTATCCAGGATCGGCTGGCAGGCAACGTACTATAAAAACCCATATAAATACTATGTTTAAGCCGGTGGCTACCTTGGCCAATCGATCAATCAATCAATGGTAAAGTAAAGTGACGTTCACGGGCGTCGGACAAAGAAACGAGACGATGGAAGGGCTAGAGCTAGAGCCTTGTATGCAGCGGCAGCGCCTTTCTGCTGGGCCAAAATTGCCATTCGCAATTTCGGGAATGAGAGGCGAGCGGAAGAGAGGATAATGTGTACGTGTAGCATAACTTTAGTGCGTAGGCGTAACTGTAAGTGCGACCCAGATTGGGACATTATATAAAAACCACTATATATACACACAAATATACAAATATTTGAAAATAAAGCGTATTCTAAGCCACATACCGAAGCCAAGGCAAAAGTGTAGCGTACAAACAGTGTATACAATAATCGTTTATCTGTAGAATCTGTGGAAGAAGTCGGACAATACTAATGGAAGTGAGCTAAATATCCAATCTGGGCTCATTCATGGCCCTTATACTATCTATTGGGGCTAGCATTTGATTTATCCTGCTCGATCTACTGCTGCTTTAGGAGATACTTTTTCTGTAAGATTGTTAAAGATGTTAGCATTTAATGAACTATGTTCCTGTAAGAGAAGGGTTCGGTTCACCCTTAGTTATAGTTCTGCGGAACTGTTCCATATTTAAAGTCAAAGCAAAGGACCTTCAACATTAGAAAAGTTCTTATAGAATCTTATAGATTCTTTTCCGATAAACAGCCGTAATGTTATTGCTGTACCTATCTCAATAGCTAATTCCGACAATTCTAGGTACATATAAACCAATTTAATTACCTTTTATAATTTGCTCAATTTATCAGTTATCTAGGGACTATTCATAGCGTGTAAGCGAAAAAAAAAAAAACAAAGAAATGTCTTGATATAGCTAGATAGACATTTATATATTCCAGAGTGGGCGCTAGTGGTTCATTAACAGGTCCTTCTGATTGGCCAGGGGGCGGGGGGGTCGTCGTCTCACCTTTAGTGCTCCACCCGCAGGGTGATGCCGTGCTTTTCCATGTGCTCAAAGATGCACTTCAGATAGGCATCGGCGGAATCGCAGCTGGAGGGAAGGGAAGCGGATCAAGATCAGTGAAGTGGCTGGTGTCAAAGGCTGAATACTCACTGATCCTCGGGCAAATCGATAGCCGCACAAGTATCCGCAATTTCGGTAATGGCATCCTCTTTTTCCTCAGCGTTCTCGCTCATGAGCTTCATCATTTCCACAGTGTGCTCGGTGCTCGGGTTGCCGTCCTCCTCTATCTGTGGGAGTGGTGGAAAAAGGAAAGGAGTTTTGGAAGGATACTTTTGATTTGTGGTTGAGTTGAGCTCTCACGATCTTAAACTTCTTCATCATGCAGGCGCGCAGGCACTTTCCCTCCTGATTCACCGACGGCTCGTGCTTCATCATCAGCTCCACATCCTCTGCAAGAGAACGTTTGGGTGGTGTACTCGGTTTCCTTGGAAACCCCGCATCGAATCGCTTACCATCCGTGGCGCCCGTCTCTGCCTTGCATTCGTTGGCTGCCTCAGCGACATGCTCCTCGTTACTTGCATCCTGGGGCTTCGACTCGGACACCGCCACCAAGCACACCGCCAGCATCAGACCCAAGCAAACCAGACGTGACATATCGTATCGAATGAGCTTAACGGGGACCGAACTCGAACTTAAATGCGTCCAGCTGGTAGAAATCGCATTTTATAGAGCTATCAAGTCGCGTGATAATTTGATAGATCCACCTCCACCTCCACCTCTACCTCCACTTCCATATCCAGTCTCATACGACAGTCTCGGGCAAATCTCAAGCGAACAGAGCCAAACAGGCAGAATAATTACAATTAGCGGATCGCATGGGAGCGGAGTGAACTATATGAGCAGCACATGACACTCCACTACTCCGTTCTCGATCTGGCCAAGATCCGGCGGAGATGCCCTCGGCTGGCTATCGTGTGAAACCCCCGGAGGCACGGGGAGGGGGGTGGGAGGTGCCACTGGTAGGTGCACTAAGGTGCTCGAGGCGTATAGTAGGGCGTCTACCTATTGCCAATTATCAGCTTAATTGGTGACTGGCATGAAATCAGACATCTCCAAATGGAAATGAAAATGATAATGCAAAATATCAAAATCTCGAATGCAATTAAATCGATCAAAACTTTTGACGGTGACTGAGTGACTACTGCGGCCACCTCGCAATTATAGTCACGGCATACCCTTATCCGGAGAAAGAGAATCCCCATTGGAGCACGGTCCGATCGCCATCCCCCAATAAAAAAAAAAACAAAAAAGAATAAACCTTAAAGGGAAGACTCGAGTGGATCAGCGATGTGCCTCGTCATGCACACGGCATGCTTTGTGTTTCTTCATTCTCTAATGTACTTTTCGCTAGTGCATTGGTTGGTTGGTTGGCGAAGAATAAAACTCGAAGACTGGATGTATCAGAGTACCTATCCGTTTGTGGTTCCATTCTGCTTATCTTCACAATCTATTTGATTGTTGAACTTTCATTGCTGTCCATCGGTTTGTTATTCTAACGAGTTTTCATTTCATTGCACGCCATTAATACGACTAGACGGGGCATTTAATTATGCCAAGTCGACTCGCTGGCTTTAGAATTCAACTAAATACATCACATAATATTCAGAGACAAATACAGGCCGTTCGGGTTTAATGCCAGGGCAGGGATCAGTGAAATGAGTGGTAAATGCTTTGAATAAACGAAAGATCAAAACTATCCATTATCATTCATCATTCGACTGAGACTGCAATCAGAAACTTTCCACAAAATATAGCTTCTGTGGGAGCCAATGATCGTTCGCTTGACAATGCCTTGTGAGAATAATTATTTTGTACTTATTAAGATAGCTTCAGAGTCACTGCGAGTATGTGGTTATGTCTCTAAACAAACGCGCTAATCTCGATAATCAGAAAGCTGCTTTAGGAGCTATTTTTATCTGAAAGCTGGTGTACCCAGGGGAGGTATTAATATTAAAAATTACAGGGTATGCAATTGAAATAGATCTTGATAGAAATGGATGTGGTACAACACCGGGTACGAACCTTGGTGGTTGAAAATGGTTGTATTGGTCTTACAAATATTCTCCAAGAAGGTGAATACCCATTTAGAAACTTTTTAAACTATTTTCGCAGCACTGTTGGCACTCAGAAGGAAGTATCTGTAAACTAAGACATCATGAAAGCTCCGAAATCCATATTTGGAGGCTTGTTTTCTTCAATTCTACAACAACTCTCGACCAAAAAATGGTCCACTTACCACTTACCCCTCAAAATTGATGCTCTCACTTTACTCTATCGGAGAATTTGCAGCATGATCAGTTATTGCTGACCAGTTTTCAACAAACAGGCGACCAGATGACTTGAAATGGATGGTCGCGCAAACCTTTTGAGGCATACCGTCGATCACTGTTTTGCTTCGGTCTCAAATTCATATAACCATGGTTCTCCACCTGTGTAGATAAACACAGCTTTTGAAGCACCACGATCCAATTTTTTCACTTATTAATCGAGACGAGCCTCTTTTTGAACCCATACTACTGTCCAAGGATTCTATAATGTCACGATGCTTTGCTCAATTATTTCTCTCACAGCATGACCGTGGTTTCTTGATAGGACTATAAGTGGCCCAGGCCACTAAAACTGGAGGGGTTCAAAAATGTCCGAAAATTAGGAGAACCCCATAACCAGACCCCCCATTGTCGCAATAGTTTGTTCATATTTTCTATGGGATAAATGCCTGAAACGGCTTGTCGCCGGGATGGGAATAGTATTATATATTAATATTGGGTGATCTTCAGCGTGTATGAATGTATGAATACACAACGGCTATACCATCGTTAGCTCTCATTCATATATGTGTGTACTTTTTCTATAGACGATGTCAAACAGAAGAATCAATATAATTATTTATAAGTACGTACTACGTATAGTCGTATTTTTCCAGAGGTTCCCAGCGCGGGTGCTGACTGTGATCGTCTGTGATGCGTGACTTGTGTGTGGGGTCTCGCACCCCATGATCGCCATGAACTTGACACTGGAAAAATCATTGTTTTCCACCGATGATGGGTCAGCAAAATGAATCAAAAATAAGTCGCAAGAACTGAAGAAGGTTATGCAGTTGCTATATAAGCCAAGAACTGGTGGCCAGTGGCACAGACAAAGAGCAACAGAAGCCAACAAGCCCCAAGATGATGCCACCGATGCTAGCAACGACCGGTTCTCTGCTGCTGATGCTGCTGTTGTTGCAGATGGACTGCGTCCGCGGCCAGGGCTTCGATCTGACCAAGATCCTAGTCAGTCGGGGCACAGAGCCCATTTGGACTGTGATGGTACGGCAGCTGCCGCATGTACAGGACATGATCGACTCTGGCCGCAGGGAGTGCATAAAGGAGCTAAAACTTCCCAAGGATCAGCGTCCGCTGATGAAGGTGTCCAATCCCAGCGAGAAGGAGAAATGCCTGATAGAGTGTGTCCTCAAGAAGACCAAGATTGTAAGTAGCAGACGGCGAGTAAAAAAGAGATGATCCTGTTGAACTGCTCCCTTAGATGGATGACAAGAACAAGCTGAATCTGGCCCAGGTGGAGAAGCTGACCGGTCTGGTGACCCAGGAGAACAAGATGGCCATTGCCTTGAGCTGCAGCCTGGCACAGACCTGCAATCGCGCCATCTCGGCCAAGAATCCCTGTGAGGCTGCCCACCAGCTCAATCAGTGCATCAGTCGCCAGCTGGAGCGCAACAATGTGAAGCTGATCTGGTAGGATCCTGCACTCGTACACTCCTGCCGACCTGACGCCTGCTTTCCTGTTTCCTGTTTCCTGTTCCCCACCCAATGAAGTCCAAGATCTCTGTATTGGCTCTGACTGGGCGATTTATTTTTTAGTCAGGGACCACATCAAGCTGGGTTTCCAATTAAACAGTTAACGAACAAAAAAAAAACAGGAAAAAAAACACAGAAAAAGAGCGGGAACGGGAGGTGGAGGTGGAGGTGGAGGGAGGACTACTCCTTGATGTCGGGTATCTTGTAGCCGCTCACTCGCATCTCGCGCAGCATGCACATGGCTATGTCATGGGCCACCTCGCACCTAATCCAAACAAGAATCAGAGACGAGGATGGAGACAAGGGTGGAGATGGAGGGGAAACACTCACTTGTCTGTGCCCGCCTGATCGTTGCATCCCTTGATGATGCGCGGTGAGTGCTCCTCCTTGTCGGGGAACATCATGTTCATCATCTCGAGCGTCTTGTCCTCGTTGTACTTCAACTCGCCCTCGGGCATCAGCTCGAACTGCTCCAGCATGCAGTGGCGGAAGCATTTGGTCTCGTATTTGGCGTCCGGCTTGTTCTTGATCATCTCCACAATGTTCTCTGATGGTTGGCATGGTTTTTGGGATCGAACTCAGGCTCGAATCGAATCGAATCGAATCGAATGATTCCTGCTTCACTACTCACCTTTCTCTGGCTTGGGCTTACAGTTTTCGCCAAACGGCTCGATTAGCTCCACCACCTCTTCCAAAGTCATGGACGCCTCCTCTTCGTCCCCATCGGCTGCGGCCAGACCCACCAGCCATCCTCCGGCACAGGCCATTACCAGCACGAGAGTTGTCATCCAGTTTCCAGGCAGCATAATTTCCTCTTCTCTTGTTGACAGCTAAAAATGGACTCTAGATTATCGGTGCCCCGCGTTTTATACCCATTCGACTGGCCTTAGTCTAGGCTCGTGTCCAGAGCATCCGGTACAACCTGCCCTAATCGCACAAAGATCGCGATCGTCGCTTGTAGATGCCCGCCATTCCCATGACATGGCCAAAAGCAGATCATGCAACCCGTCCAAATGCACCACAATTCTCTTGGGACTGGGGCTAATATTTATTTATGGAACTAGGGGACTAGAGGACCAAGACCTAGACCTATAGCCTAGACAGAAACGGGGACTTAAACATTGGGCATCTATGGAGATTCGGAGATGACTAGGGGAAGACAAAGACCTTGATGTTGGACTTGAGGCACGAGAGCAGGGCGTGGGCTGGATCACAGTTGGGGGCGTTCTTGAGGCCAACGGTGGAGTCCTTGCAGGTATTGATGCCCTGACGGTACTCCGGCTTGTAGCTGTCCGGCAGCAGGACGTCCATCTGCTTCAGAGAGGCCTCCACCTGGAACTTTCCCTTCTTGATCTGTACGGTACGAATGGAAGGTATTAAGGAATCGAACGCATGGAATCTACGAGTATATGGGGGTACACACGGCCTGCATCATCTCCAGAACGCAGTTGATATAGCAGTTGGAGTCCTTGTTGTTGGGTATCTGCCCATTCCGTATGCCATCGGCCACCTCTACGGTCACCTTGGGGTACTTGGGCAGGCAGACATCCCTCATCAGTTTGCCAGCGGACCACATCTGCTCCTCCGTCACCTGCAAGACCACCAATCACGGATCGCAAACATGGAATAGTTCCTTGGACGTACCCCTGCTTCCGAGCCAGGCAGTGAGATGCCCACAGCGACAATGATCAGCAAAAGATCCAACTTCATGCTCGAACTTTCAACAAACAAATAAACAAATGCCCCGGACCTGCCACACTCCTTATATACTCGTACTTGCAGTCCAAGCCATGAACGCCCCTGTAGGCCCCCCGAAGATGAAATGACATGCAAATGATGATAGTCTATGGGTCCATATGGGGGTGGGCTTGGTGCCAGAGGGCTCCAGCAAGTATGCAAGAGGGTGTGCAAATTACGGGGCACAGTGTAAACCGATTACTTCCTGATCTTTGTTGGTTGGCTACTGGTGGGGCTGTAATCCATATAATCTTGCTGCATTAATTGAACGGTCGGCTGCCACACGCACGGCAACAGCCCCGCGGATGGCACTCCCATTCAAATAAATCTCGGACTGTATTTTGATCATGCAATTGGAGAATACTCGTAATAGGACTACAACATCATCTTTGAATAAATACTACGATAACTGCTCATGCAAATGGAAAATCAATGGCAACATCTACATATGTATGTATATTTGTTGGCAGGGGCTGGGTCTCGGGCAGGCTTTGCCTGACTTTGCATTGATTCGAATCAAAAAAGCAGAACACAAACAAGCACAAATTCTTTCAAAATCATCCCGAATAAGTTCGAGCAGCTCTAAGAACTCAAAGATGTCCGACCAGTTCAGCTTCGCGGATAACTTCAACAGCCGCACCCTGCGCGGGCGTGCCAATGTATGTGATCTGCCATCCAAATGGTATCCACTCGAAGAGCTCACTGTCAGTCTCCTTTTCTCAGGTTTCGAAGGTCACGCTGGCCGGTCTGGGTATCGCCTATGTGGCGCTGAAGATACGACAGGCCTGGGTCCAGCGGCGCGAGACCAAGCTCTACTGCAAGGAGTGCCAGAAGCTCTTGCTGCGTCACTAAAAATCATGGAGGAGGCGAAGGAGACAAAGGAGGACTGGGGGCAGTGGGCTTGAGTTGGTCAGATGTTGCCGTCTCTTTGATTCGTAATCTCTGATGGCTATGTATGGCCAGATCCAGACCATTGGCCTCTGTATCCTGTTGCCAAATTGCGTTAACTTTTCTGATTTAATAAATTCCCGTTGCCATCTGGTTCTCATTTCAACACCAATTTCTTTTTGATTGCAGTAGGCCTTGCTCGTTCCCTCGTGTCGCTCTCAATATATTATATATCATATATACAGTTTCGACTAGGGCCCCACCCAGATCAGATCAGACGTAGCTCCCAGAGATCTTTCCCCGAGGTAATCCGCACGATGTCCGAGGGCTTCAAGAAGCACTTCAATGCCAGCACGATGAATGGCCGTGCCAATGTAAGTATCTTGATCCCGTTCGCATTCTTAGATAGTGCCCATCCCATGCCCTTCCCTCCAGGTGGCCAAGGTCACGTATGCGACCATGGCCCTCCTCTATATCGTATACCGCATGCGCCGGGGATCGGGCAAGAAGCCAGCGGATGGCAGTGGCATGCTGGCGGATGGCAGCTGCAGCTGCGACGAGAAATCGCCACCGGAAGGGCACGACTCCGACACGGGCTTCTACGAGACCGATCCCTCGTGCGGTTCGTGCCGGGAGCGGTCCGAGCGCGCCATGTCCGAGTATGATCGGGAGCAGCAGCGCCGTTCGGCGGCTAAGGCACGGCAGGACCATAGCGACGAGTGCAAGGCCGAACCACCACCACCGTCCTCCTCATCACCGCCTGGGCCTGGTGGGGTCGCGACGCCTCGCCGCAAATGCCCCTGCGAGAATCCGCACCGGAAATCGATCTATGACATGAAGAGCAGCAGAAACGACACCAGGTCCTTCATGCAACGGCAACAACAGCAGGATGCCCAGGATGCAGATGATGTGCGTCCGGCTAGCGAGATAGTGAGACAGGTGCACGGTGCCGTCTACCGTGTGCTCAGTGGCGTCTTCAATGCCGTCATGGGCGGAGACTCTTCCGTCACCACCACCACTTCCCCTCCCAAGTCCCAGGCCAATGCCCAGAGAAACCAAGAGGAGCGACGAGCAAATCAGGCAGATCATCCGCAGAACGACGACGAGGAAGTGACCGCGGTCGGGTACGAGGCCATGGACTGTGAGTGCGGGCTGAATACGCCACTGAAGCCACGCACCGGTCCTCGCTGCTGTGAGTCTCCTACTGGGGCGAACGAAGGACAGGCCCAACCAGAAGATGCACAGTACAATGATTCCTACAATGATGGCTATGCCTCAGTGTTTTGAGGTTTGATTCTGGGTGGTGCCCATGCCCCAGAGCCCAGACCCCAGAGCCCAACTTTTTCTTGGGCACAACCAAATTTCAAGCTAATCCAAATAAAAATAAAACAGTAATAAAACGGTGTGGCGGGATAGTGATAAGAATAGCTTATGAATTTTGAAAAGGGATTTTGTCGGGCCAATGCCCAGGCACGTGTTAAGTACTCTCAAATGAAATCCTTTAAAGCCTTATAGACATTTACACTGGCAATAATGAATCGATAAAATGTTCATATTTTTTGTATTTAGTTAGCTTTTAGTTTATTTTTTACTTTTTAAATAGAGTTTTCGTTTACGTCGCTTTCAAACACCTCTTGTAACCTTTAATTGGATCTTTAGCAATGGCTTGTACGGGTGTGCAGTGTCCATTGTAGTCCATCAACTGCTTTAATCGGATCCGGATGGAATGGTGGGCGGGAGGGGGTAGGGTGGTGGTCTAACGATAAAGCCAGGTGCAGGTGTAGGTATAATTATGAGATAGTGGGGACGGGGCGGCTTCAACTAACATTTATATTTAGATTTATAATGTTTAGGGGGTGTATATGTAATATATATTATATTATGGAAATAACTTTAACGCTTAGCTTTTTGGTTTCATTAACGCTCAATCGATCCTTCTCTCAACTTCTTTCAACTTTTCTTTTCTTCACTTTTCTGTCTCTGTCTCTGTCTCTGCTTCTGTCTCCGTCACCATATCTATCGTTCTCTTTCTCTTTCATCGCTGTCTATCGTTGCCCTGCTCTGTGGCATGTGCTAATTTAAAATATATATATATATATTATATGTATACTATATGTGTATTTATGTGTATGTGTTATGCGTTGTGTATGTGTGTATCTTTTGAAGGCTTCGTGTGTGGTTTTTTTTTTAGTTCTGCATCCTAATATCCAAGGAATGAGTGGGAGTGGATTGGAGTGGATCCATCTACGGAATGGACCTAAGGTCTTCTGCTCTGTGAGTTTCGATTCTCTATTGTGGCTGTTGTGACGTGTCCATTAGCCGTCGTGGCTGGCAACCGACTCCAGGTCGCTGTTATCCTCGCTGCCAGTCGCCTCGGTGGGTTCGCCCATGGCCACGCGCGCATACTCGTCCGTGTCGATGCTCTTGCAAAAGTGTATGGCATACTTGAGCTTCTCCAGTAGCACGGCCTAGCGATAGGATGGGATAGGATAGGCATGGATTAAATAACACTTGCCAGCAGGGAGTCGTATATGAAAATACCTTGCAGGAGTAACGCGGCATCTTCAGCAAAAAGAAGCAGGTATAGCTCTCGGGCAGGAAATGATCGGGCGGATTCTTTTCGAGCACTTGCAGCACAAAGTCCCGGCCGCGGAAATCGGCTATGGTGCGTGGCAGTCGCGTCCGTCCCCACACAAAGCGCAGGAACAGCGAGCGTTCCTGAAAATATATATTGAACATACGATTATTTGAAACCCAAGCCAACCCAAAAAGGGCAACCATTTCAGACGCACCTGATTGGTAAACTCTTCCATGACCTCCCAGAACCAGGAGACCAATGCAGAGCCGGGATCAAAGCCCTTGTAGGTGGCCACCGACTTGAGCAGACCGAGCGGTATGTCCGGTGAGCCGCAGACCATGGCCTGAAGCTCGGCGGCGGAGAAGAGCGACAGCAAGGGCACTGGTATCACCTTGGACATGCCATCCCGCACCGCCTTGACCTGCTCATCGAACTCGTGCAGTCGAAAGCTGAGCGCCAGTCGGACATACTCTGCCCGATTCCGTGGCGAGATGTGCGTGTATCTGGTGGAGAGCGGCACCTCATGGCCCCGGGCCGACGATGTGGAGAAGGGCAGCTCCAAGGTGTTGAACAGCTTGGCATCATCGTCCATGTTCCGTATGCACAGCAGACCGGCCACATAGTCACGGTCCACTTCGGTGAGGTCCGGGGGACGCAGCACCTCGCCCGTTAGCTGTCGCCAAACGGGTTCCGCCAGACTAGAATGGGATAAGGATAAGGATTGGTATTTTGCATTGACCAATGGAATGTGGCTTTAACTCACTTGATGCTCAGCGGGGAACCCGTGCGCACGGCAATGCCCATGAGGACGCCCAGGAAGCGGAACATGTTCATCTGCAGCACAGAGCCGAGAGTGGGATCCAGGAGAAAACAGTCCCGATTGGCCCCCGCCTCGCCCCTGCCATTGGGAGTATTGATCAGGAGCGGTACGCTGCCGTTCTGCAGCTCGTCGCACATTTCCGCGATGGATTCGCTGTATCCACCGCCACAGTCGTCGACGCTCTCGCCCACAAACTTGACCTTCCACACGCGATGGGGCAGGGCGAGCGCCTCCTGGGTGAGCAGCGGCAACTTCTGGACCATCTGCCCGAAGACGCTCTTCATGCCGTCGACGCCGGCGAGGCCGTTGCAGCGGCTGCGCGATCGCTTCACCTGGATGCGGTTCAGCTCGATGACGGGGCCGTGCTGTTTGTCCCGCACCATCGTCGTTTGGATGACCTTGCGGAAGGCCGCCTCCTTGATGTTGTACACGAGCACGTCCTTGAGGGCTCCCAGGCTGAGATCTCCGGCAATGGGCAGCATGGCCAGGCAGGGGCACAGCAGCTCCGAGAAGTGGTGCAGCAGAATGAGGCGGGCGTGGAGTGCCTCGGGGGCCAGATCGCGGACCAGATCGTATTCCAGCGGGGGATTGGGCAGCGGACGCAGCCGCTCGCTCAGCTGGGACGTGGACAGGGCCAGAGTGTGGGCCGATCCGCAGGTAACCTTCACAATGTGCTTGCCCTGGAGGGCGGCCACCAGACGCGGTCGCTGGATGGCGGTGACAGTGCCATCGCCCAGCTGTCCCTCGTCGTTGTCGCCCCAGGTGTAGACCTCGCCCGAATCGCTGCAGGCGACACAGTGCAGCGAACCGGTGGCTATCGAGATGATCTTCTTACCCTGTAGGGCGGCCACCTTCTTGGGGCGCCGCACATGGTCCACGGAGCCATGGCCCAGCCGATGGAAGTCGCCCTTGCCCCACGTGTAGACGGCTCCCGATTTGGTGAGGGCCACCGAAAACTGGGATCCGCACTCCACCTTGATGACGCCCAGGCCGGCCAGGCTTTCGATCTTGTAGGGCAGCTTGCAGCCATCGCTGCCGCCGCGTCCCAGCTTCCCGTAGTCGCCGTCGCCCCAGCTCCACACATTGTCGTCGTCGGTGATGCACAGCGTCTGGGCGTCCCCCGATCCACAGGCAATGTCAATGGCCCGATAGCCGAGCAGCGCTTCCACCAGCTGCGGCCTCAGCTGATCCTCAGAGTCGCCGTGTCCCAGGCGTCCGTACCGGCCCTTGCCCCACGTCAGGACGTGTCCGCTGGCGGTGATGGCCGCCGAATGGGCGCTGCCGCAGGCAATGTCCGCCACATTCATGCCGTTCAAGTGCTCCACAAGCTTCGGCCGGTCGTAGCTCATCCGGTTGCCGTGCCCGAGCTTCCCGTCCTCGCCTTCGCCCCAGGCGTACACCTCGCCCTCGGTGGTGAGGGCCAGGCAGTGCTTGCCCCCAGAGTTGACGGCAACCTTCTTGACGAACACATGCTGCAGGGAGCCCAGCAGCGTGGGGATGGCCCAGCTGTCGGCACCGCCCACGCCCAGCCTTCCCCCGGAGCCGTAGCCGGTGGCGAAGAGCTTCCCGTCCGGGGTGACGGCGAACAGGGACTGCTCTCCGCCGGCCAGCTGCACGGGCCGGAGCAGGCTGAGCGCCTCGCAGGGGGTCGGTGTCTTGATGCGGCTCCCCTCTAGGCCCCCGAGCTGCCCGCGATGGTTGTGGCCCCATCCGTAGATGGTGCTGGCACCGCCCCAGCTGAGGGCCCAGTCGTCGGGCCGCCTATTGAGCCACTGCAGCAGCTGGGCATCGTGGGGGGCTTGGAACAGCGTGTGATCCTCGTGGAGCAGCACAAGGGAGGAGGCCTCCGAGTGGTGCTGTTGCTGTTGCTGATGCTGGGAAGGCAGGCAGTGGTGCCAGCCAGCCAGCTCCTGGTGCTCTGCCAGAAGGGGCGGCGGCGGCGGTGTCACATTGCTGGCCGTGCTCGAGGAGAGCGACGTGGTCGAGTTGAGCATGGAGCCCAACGGGGAGTGTGAGAGAGCCTGCGACTGGCTGGTGTTCTGGCTGGCATTCGGATTGGGCAGCATCTCGGCAAACTTCTTGCGCACCTCCAGGCAGAAGGGACGCGGCAGCTCTGTGCGGCGTATCAGCGACTGGGCCACACGGACAGCAATGCAGTAGCGCTTAAACCATGCCCACTTGTGTCCATCCCCCGTGGAGACGGAGCTGCTGCTCGAGGAGGCTCCACCTCCGCCTGCGCCAGCGCCAGCGCCTGCAGCTGTGGATGTAGATGTAGAGGAGGCTCCTCCTGCATTGGCAGCGGCTCCAGTGATTGCTGTTGTCGATATCGCTGTCGTTGTCGTAGTCGTTGTCGTTACAGGAGCCGGCAGTGAGTCATCCAGCTGCATGTCGCAGGCGAGGGCCGCCAGGGTCTTGAAGTAATCCGAATGCATCAGATGGATGCCGCCACGGACCTGCGGCTCCTCGTACTCGTACTGCCGCAACAGCTCGGGGATGAGCGGCTGCAGTATGCCCGCCAGCGTGGGTTCCTGCGGCTTGGGCGCCTGGTCGAGCAGCAGCACTGCGTGCAGTTTCTTCAGCGACCAGATCCTCTGTGCGGTGGTCAGGGCGCCCAGCTGCGAGCAGGCGGCCAGCGCCGAGGCCAGGCGGATGAGCACCCCCTGCTGGCTGGGTGCCAGGCGGGAGTCCAGCAGTGCCATAACCAACGCCATCGATGGCTGCGACAGGACAGCACGATCGGAGCCGCTCTCCCCGAGCGTCGCCGCGGGCATAATGGCGTGCACCCAGAACCGCCAGCCCCAGCCGTTCACGGAGCTGTCCGAGGTGAATTTCCAGCGAAGCTCGTCGCCGGGCACTCGTATTTCGGGGGCCCAGTGGGCGAACTCTCGGCCCGAACGCATGGCAAGGACTCGGCCGGCTGCATCGGTGATCACCAGCGGATCGTTGCGCTTCTCCGTGCTGCACTGGCTGTCGAATTCGAGGCGCAGCATCTCCGCCCCGGGTATGCGGACGGCCCCCGTCACATTCACATTGTCCACATACGGATGGCTGCTCTCCTGCATCACCGGCTTCGGCACCTTGCCGAGGCAGTGGCGCGACGTGCACAGATCCTCCAGCTCCGTGATGCATGTCTCCAGCAGCATCGAGCTAATCGCCGCATTGCCCGATCCCAGCGAGATGAGGGTCTCCGCTATCGTCTGGGCAGTGCTCGGGGGTCCGCAGCGGCCGCACACGGCCAGCTTGAGCAGCTCCACCAGGCTCTTGGCCTCCGGCTCGCCTAGCAGGCCGCCAAAGTCGTCGAGGCCATGCGTGTGGCTGATTTGGGCCAGCATCTCTTCCTGCTGGGTCATGGTGGCGGCCATCACGGACATAGCACTCGCCGACATCCTCGAGTGCTTGTGCTGCGGCGGCAGCGCGCTGCTCGAGAGGGACCCAGACATCGACAGGGATCCGGTGAGGCTCTGGAAGGCGCTCAACGGTCCGGCGGTGAGTGGCGGAAGGGTAGATCCTGCCCCTGCTCCTGCTCCTCCTGCTGCCACTGCGATGGCTTCTATTTGGGCATCGGGACTGTGCTCCATCTGTAGGGCGGCGTCGGTGGCATCTGCGGGGGCCTCGCCTCCGCCCTGGGCTATCGGTTCGGCGGGTGGAAATGGAACCGCTCCCATGGCACCGGCACCCATCAGCTGATCCTCCTCTCCCGCTGCTCCTGCTGCTCCCGCTCCCGCTCCAGCTGCTGCTCCGGGCCCAGCTGCCGCTCCGCGCTCCTTGTAGTTCACCTTGCTGTGGCTGGTTAGGGCCGCCACAATGAGCTGCCTCGCCTGCAGGATGCTCATGGCGCGCAAAACGTGACCGAGGGCCGCCTGTCTAGCGGCTGGCGTCTCCAGGGCCAGGCTCTCGCTCAGGCTGGTCAAGCTGGGCGGCTTCGAGTCCTGCTTGAGGGCGCCGGCAGCGGCGGCGGCCTCCGCCTCGTAGATCCCCAGGCTGCTGCCTCCGAGCGGGTCGCGAGGGCTGCCGAACGGCACGGGGCCGCGCTTCTCCTCCTCGAGGGTGGCATTGGGCAGGCCCCAGGCAATCGAATGGGAGCTGCCGCAGGCCACGCGATTCACGAAGACCGCATCCAGGCCAATCACCAGAGCGGGCTTCTTGTTGACGAACGTATTGCCGCTGCCCTGCTGGCCATGATCGTTGTCCCCCCAGGCGTACACCTGTCCGGCATCCGTTACGGCCAGGCAATGCAGGGCCCCGACGGCCACATGGATGACTCGCCGTCCGCGCAGGCCGCCAATGGGCTGGGGCTTCCTCACATGCTGATCCCCGCCATGGCCCAGGCGATAGTAGTCGCCCTTGCCCCAGGTCCAGACCTCCCCGGCGCGGGTCAAAGCCAACGAGAATTGCGCTCCGCACTCGATCTGAATGACACCGATGCCAGAGAGTCGTTCGATCTCGTGCGGTGTGTCGGATCCCTCGCTGCCGCCGCGTCCCAGCTTGCCAAAATCGCCGTCGCCCCAGGAGAAGACGGACCCGTCCTCGGTGAGGGCCAGGGTCTGGGCATCCCGGCTGCCGCAGGCCACCTGAATCACTCGTCGTCCGGCCAAAGCGGCTACCAGCTTGGGCTTAAGCTGTGTGGCATTGTCGCCATGTCCCAGGCGTCCGTACTCGCCCAGGCCCCACGTGTAGAGCTCTCCCTGGCTGGAGATGGCCGCCGAATGGGATGAGCCGCAGGCCACATCACGGATCTTCTTTGAGCGCAGCGTCTCCACCAGCCGGGGCTTGTCCAGCGTGGTCCTGTTGCCATGGCCCAGCTTCCCGTCCTCGCCCTCGCCCCACGAGAACACCTTGCCGTCCAGCGTCAAGGCGAGGGCATGCTTGCCGCCCGAGTGGACGGCCACCTTCTTGACGACATACTGATGGAGCACCGGCAGCTGGTGCGGCAGCGGCACATTGTGGGTCACACCGAGTCCCAGGCGTCCGTTGGTGCCCTCGCCGCAGGCGTATACCTTTCCGTTCTGTCCCACGATGAAGAGGCTCTTGGAGCCGCCGGCTATGTGGATGGGACGCAGGCGGCTGATGGTCTGCGAGAATGTGGGCACCTTCACTTTGGAGCCCTTGAGTCCGCCCAGCTGTTCCTTGTCGTTGAGACCCCACACCATCACAGTGCAGGGCAGATCCTGGTCTAGAGCACCCGCCATCCCGTGGTCTCCGTAAAGGGATACTGGGCCTGATTCTGGGCCTCCTGCCATCCCCATTCCATTGTATTCGCAGGCCAGGAACTGCGCATTGGCCAGGATGTGCTGCAGGTCTGGCTTCTGGCGTCGTCCCACGAACTGCAGGCCATGGACCTTGCACTGGATGCCGTTGTTCTGGCACTGCTTCACCACAATCTCGATCCAGGGATAGTACGTGGGCACCTGCTGCATGAGCAGCACCCGACTGGCCCCCGCCGGCACTGGTATCCATGTGAACTCCTTCAGGCTGTCGATGCACTCACCCACACGGATCTCCAGCAGCGAGGGCATGTGCGAGTGGTCCTCGGGGCTCACCGTCAGTGCCAGACTGTGCACCAAAATCCGATCGTGCAGCTCCAGGCGTATCCAATGCCGACACGGCCCACTCGAGCAGCTCTGCCACGTCTGGCCGATCCCATCCAGCAGATGCTTGGCCGCCGCCTCATTGGAGCTGACCGTCAGCGAGCGAATGCAGCGGGACCAGTCCTCGATGAGATCGCTGGGCGCCGGCTGACACTGCAGATCGGCGGCAATTGGGGCTGGTGTTGGGGGCAGGGCCACCATTTCCACGTCGTTGATGTGCCCCTGCCAGCCGGGTTGGTCGGGAAAGTCCACTGTCAGCTGCTTGCCCCGCACCGCTGTGACCACGCCGGCCGTACGCTGTGTGCGGCCCAGCCGCATCTGGTTGAAGACCCCATAGCGGGCGGAGCAGCGTGGCCGGACCCGGGCACCAACCACAATGGGCGGCGGACGCGGCTGCAGGAGGTGGGCGGACATCGGGTCGCGTGGCCCAGAGCCAAGCGGTGGCTCCACCAGCTCGATGTGAACAAAGCAGACCCAATAGGTGCTGCCGTGATTGCGCCAGTCAACCTGTACGTTGAGGTCGTGCAGACCCTCGGTGTCCACGATCAGCACGGTGCCCATGTCGCCCTGTTTGATCTCCTCAAAGTCCCGGCAGCAGCGCACCGTCATCCCCGGACGCACCAGGCCGCGCACATATAGCGCATAATGATCGGCCGTCTGGAAATCCTTGCGTGCCTCGAACCTCACGGGCGGCGGTGATGCGACGGCGACGACGGCGGATGCAGCGGCACCACTGGCTCTTGCCCCTGTCCCTGCTGCTGCTCCTGGCTGGCCCTCAACGGTGTCCGAGGAGGCCGAGGTGTTGGCGGAGGAGCTGCTGGACAGACTGCTGGGCGACTCATTGTCCGAGTCTGCTTCGGGATCGTGAGTGCCACTGCCCTGGGGCAGGGGATCTTCCTCGATGGTATTGGCACACACATCCGGATGCTCGAGTATCCACTGGACAATCTGCTCGGGCGTGGGCATAATCTCTGCCTGCAGCGACAGCTGCTTGAGGGCCAGCTCCACCGTTCGCTTGGGGAAGCCCATGTCCATGATTTGGTTGATTAGCTCCGCATCGGTGGCCGCCACTTGGGAGGGCCATTTGGTGGCTACCTCTTTTGCTATCGTTGCTGTGGCTGTGGCTGCCTTGAACACGTTGTAGACCGGCACTCCGTGCACCATTGTGGGCTGTGGCGGTGTGGCCATGGCCGGCGAGGGTACAGAGCCCTCGGCCTCACTTTCGCTGAGCTCGAGATGCGCCTGACTGGCCAGGGACTGGACACAGTTGAGGGCAGCCGTCGAGAGATCCGTGTAGGTGTAGCAGGCCCTCACGGGCGAGGCCTGGGTGGCTCTTAACAGGATGCATTGGATCAAAAGCTGCGCCTCCTGGCCGCCTCTCCCACTGCCTATCTCTCCTGCTGACTGTTGCTGCTGTTGTTGCTCCTGCTCCTGCTCTGAGTGCTCCTCCGGTTCGGTATGATCCTGCTGCTCCCGTTCGTTCCCTTCTTCTGCCTCCCTCTCCCTGTCTCTGTCGCGGTCTCGGTCTCGGTCTATGTCTGTGTCGGTTTCCACATCATCCGCGTAGATGCCCGGTGCCCGCTGCTTGAGGATACGTCGCAGAGCCGCCTGGTGGCGATACAGAACGCTATTCGTGTGCAGCACGGCCAGATGCAGCTGCTGTGCCCTCAGATGGCCCAGATCCAGGCGTCCCTCCGCCGAGGCATTGAATGAGGGGGGATACTCGCGCGCCTCCGTCGCAGGGCCGTAGAGGAGCACAGTCCAGGCATTCAGCAACATCTCGTTCATGGGCAGGCGGCTAAGACTGAACACACTGTGGTCCAGATGTGGCATCACAGAGAGTAGCGGCACCTTCACGAATCCCGCTGTGGCTGTGGCTGTGGCAGTGGCAGTGGCAGCGGCCGCGGCAGTGGCAGATCCTCCCTGGGCGACTCCCTGCGAGGAGGCTGCCAGCAGGCATCTCCCTTTATGCGTGAAGCTGGCAATGATCATGTGGCTGCCCTCGTTGAAGCAGTGCAGTCCCACGCGGGGACGCAGATCGCAGCCGCCCATGGCACTGAGCACGCCGAGGACGAAGATCTGTTCGCTATCCAGGGGACTGGAGGATTGCTGTTCGCCCAGCAGCTCGGCGGCCACGCACAGTTTCTGGGCCAGAAACGAATTGATCACCGCATTCCAGTGGGGCAGCGTGTGCAGGCGACGCAGCAGCGAGACAAGCTCCTCGGCCACACTGCCCGAGTGGGAGGCGGTTAGCAGGACGCGGGCCTTTCCCTCGGCCGTCGGCTGGAGCGTGACATCCCCGGGACAGTGCAGGGCAATCCTGCCGAGAGTGGCAAATAGCTGGCGCACTAGACTACCCATGCGCGGCTCCTCCTCCGTTGTCCACTGAGCCAGAATGCACTGCAGCAATCGCAGACAGTGGAGCTGCCTGTAGACGCCCGCTTCGCTGCCCGCCGGCTGCTCCAAGAGCTCCAGATAGTGCGCCAGCCAACCGGGTGTGCTCAGCTCTAGACAGAGACGCGGGCAGTCACCTGGACAAAGCGAAAAGAGGGGGGAGAAATGATCTCTGGCTGCTAGATCCCTGGCAGGACTCCCTGGGGCAGCACTCACCCGCTATGGCTCGTATAAATCCCAGATTGAGCCAGCCCAGAGAGCTGGCCACGTTCTCCATGGCTGGCTTCGGATCGATTATCGCCCGGAACATGCATGTGACGCCCCGCAGCGCATGCCTGTCCAAGTGGGCGCCATGCAGGCCGCTCCCGACGGCCAGTATCTGCAGCAGCTTGGCCGCACAGTGCCGCAACAGTTTCGATGGATGGGATTCGCTGCTGGGCGAGGCCTCTGTGCCGGCCAGCTCCTCGCGCTCTGGCTCTGTCGGTGAGGCCACGTTCAGGGCGCTGTCGGCCAGCTGCAGATCGTATTGGCCCTCCTTGCCCATGCGATAGGAGTTGGTGGCACCCGTGTACCATTCAACGCGCACCCATCTAAAGACGAGGAACGGAAATGATATATGACATGAATGCATAAGATATTCCTGCTGCCTGTGGCCGCCGCTTACCCATCCTCGCCCACTTCACTGATGATGCGACCCTCGCCTGGCGGATTGCCATCCTGGTCGCCCCACTTCCAGTCCGAGCCGCGGACAATCCGTGTGCCAATCTTCATCAGCTTGGCCAGATCGGGGCCACTCAGCTGCGCCTTGCTCGACTTTTGCTTCATCACACTGTCCTCGTAGAGGACGCTTAGCTCGGTGTTCGGCTGTCCCCCGGCTATGCCCTCGCCGCCCGTCTGCGCCAGTAGACCGAGCACAGTGCCCAGGAGGCCAGAGTTGATGAGCAGCCCCAGCTCGTTGGGGCCCAGCTCTTTGGCCAGCAGACCGAAGACGCTCAGCAGGAAACGGGCACGCGGCAGGCGCTTGAGCAGCACATAGGTACTCAGGTTGGAGCTGTCCTTGCCGCGGGCGGAGCCCTGCTGCTCCTGGTTGACCAGACGCCGCAGTTCACGCACGGCCCAGTCGAGGACGCGGGCCTGGGAGAGCAACAGTCTGGCCTTCTGATAGGCACTGACCATATTCAGCTGCCCCAAGACATGCAGGGAGCTGCCCGATGCCGATGATCCTGCAGATGAGGACGGCTTCAGGTGGAGGCCGAGGAACCCATTCAGGAGACTGTATTGGGCCGCATCCAGGAGGCCGTGCAGCTCGAGCAGCTGCTGGACCAGCTGGAGGCCAGCGAGACGCAGCTGGAAGCGCTGCATCTGGCAGTACATGGCCCGGCGGGCCGTCTCCACGTCGCAGCTGTCCTGGAGGGCAAAGTCCACAATGTCCTGCATCAGCACGCCGTCCAGCTCGCCCTCGCCATGGATCTTCCGCTCGTTGAGGCGTCGCAGCAGGCTCTCGCTCTCCTCCTCCTCATCCTCCTCCTGCTTTGGCGGCGGCGGTGGCGGCTTCTTTTCCTGCTGCTGCTGGATGGTGGCATTCAACAAATCCTCCGGCTTGGCCGGCTTCCGGGACGAGCGCAGCTCCTGCAGCAGGCGTCGCACCAGCAAACGGAATCGTGGCAGCCTTTGGAGAATCTGTAGTCGGCGCAGTCCCCTCTGCTGCGGACTTATGGCCGGCCGCACTTCGTACAGAAGAAACCGCAGACGCTCCAGGATGGGGGCACACACCTCCTTGTAGCTGCGGTTCTGCTGCTGCCGCGTCCGCACCACCGACCACTTGGCCTGATGCACCAGCTGGATGATCTCCCCCAGCTGCTTGGGCGGTGCCATCTCCCGCGACGCCTCCCCGCCATCCGGTGCTGATGCGCAATCCTCGAGGGCAATCACCACCAGTCCCCCCAGATACTGATGCCGGATGAGAACGGCGCTTAGCAGACGCTCCAGCTCCTGGACGGGATGCTCGGTGGCAAACTCCTGGTGCCACATCAGATTGTGGGCCTTGCAGTAGCGCTCGGTGAGCGCTAGCCAGGCGGCCACCGGTGGCTCGCTTAGCCGTGCCTCGGCCAGGCCACTGATGAAGCTATCGGCTCGCTGCTGGAGCTTCGATCTGGCTGGTTGCAACGGCTGGAGGGTCAGCGGCTGGAGGGGTAACGGCTGCAGGGCCGCCGGTGGCTGCTCTGTGGGCGTATTGCCGGCGGTGCTGTGGCAACTATTGGGCAGACTGCTGCGCGCCTCGCCCTTTTCCTCGTCAAAGGGATTGCTGGGCTGGAAGAGCTGCAGCCCACCACTGAGGAGGGTGCTCTTGTCCAGCTGCCGGCACTGCAGTTCCGCCGGCTGCAGCATGGGACCGCTGCACATCAGATTGGCCACAATACCCAGCAAGTGGGCTAGCGTGCACTCCGAACTGAAGTGCGTGAGTCGTGTGGGACTGGGCAATGCGGCCTAAAAAGGGACGGGAGAGAGAGCTACATTTGCTGATCGCTGGACGGTGGATGCTGCAATGTCTCTTACCTTTTCTTCGGTGGTGGCCTGGGCCATGTATTTGCCCAGCTTGTGGTGCTGCAGTATGTGCTCCATGGCACTCCTATGCGCCTGCTGGCTGCTCATCTCTGCCGTGAGATCTTTGCCCAGACCCGCATCCAAAAGGCCTTTCAGCGTCTCCGACTCGCAGCTGCCATACAAAGCGGAACTTGAAGGAAACTGACCCTCTCAAAGGCAGCGCAAGGGAAATACTCACTTGTAGCTGCTCAGATCACAGACATAGCCCGCCAGGATGATGCAGCGACTCCCATCGAGCAGTTGATTCTCCATATCGGCCCGTCGCACATAGTGCGTCTCCGGATCGGCGGGCGGTGGTCCGCCTTTGGGTCCACCACGGCAGATGATGCCGGGCCAGCCCATGTCGTCGCCATCGCGCAACTCTCCCTCGACGAGGGCTCGATTCAGTCTGTCCAGGATGCGCAGCAGGGGCAGGAAGAGCCGCGACCAGCGCAGGCTGCCCAGACACTGGGGTCGGTCCCGCTTGAGCAGCACCAGACCCACCAGCAGCTCGTGCAGCAGGGCGTCCGAGATGTCGGCCTGGAGAATGCGCGTCAAGTGGCGCGCCTGTTGGCTGCTCGAGGGCAGATGATCGCCTGGATCGCGGCACTGCAGCGCCAGCTCGTGCGCTTGCTGCAGCGTGGCCACGCAGGCGGGGATCAGAGTGTGCAGATACTGGTCAAGCAGAGCTTCAGCGCCCGTGGTATCCTCCTCGGCATCGGCCTGATGGATATGGGCTAGCAGCAGGCGCTGAAAGCGATGCAACAGACTCAGACTGGGACTTGTGCTGGGCTCCTGGCTATGATGCCGATGCTCCTGATCCTCCTCCTTCTCCTGCTGCTGCTGCTGCTGATGCAGCAGACGCTGCTGCTGCTTGCCCAAGGTGGGCGTGAAACGCGTCTGGGTGAGGGCCGCATTGTTGCCCAGAAGTCGGGTGATCAGCTGCATTAGCGGCAGATTGACCCCGTCCACACATTCAGCCGCACAAGAGCTGCTCTCCAGACGTATGGCATGCTGCAGGGCCGACTCCAGACCGCCCTCGGCCATCAGGGAGCTAACCAGCAGATCTGTCATGAAACGGTGGCCCGAAGAGGAGGCCTGTCCCGGCTCCGAGGGCAGCAGCGAGGTCAAAGTCTGGGCCCGCTCCGCTGCCGTTGGCAGTAGGACACTCCAGCCGTCCTACAAAACGTACACAGTACGGATTATTACGGATTACGGATTCAGTGCGATTCAGTCAAGGGGGATTACTCACCTGTAGGGCCTGTTGGGCGGCCACTTGGATGGTGCGTAGCACTTGACTGCCACCCGCCAGGCTCAAGATGCGGCTCTTGAGGCTGCCCAGCAGCCGGCCGCCACTGGCCAAGCCCACCTGCCGTGGCTCCACGCCATTAATGATCAGCGCGAGCAGCTGCAGCCGCACGAGATTGAGACATGCCACGGCTATGCATTCCGACTCTTGGTTGGGCGTCTGCCGGTTGTCCTGGCTGCTGCACATGCTCAAGAGCTGGTCGAGCAGCCGGAATGTTGGCTCACCGGGATCAATCACAAAGGGGCAGCGCAGCGGTACACCCTGACGGGAGCTTTGTGTCCAGATCAAGCTCTGAGAGGCGGTGCAGGCCACCCCGCTGGCCGGCAGAGTGGGCAGGGCCACCAGTATGGGGACGCGCAGCAGGGGCTCACTGGAAACGGAGGAGGGACAGATCTGCTGGCTGTCGTTGCGTCCCCAGCCGAATACCTCTCCACAGCTGGAGAGGGCCAAACAATGGGCCACGCCCACAGCCACATCGACAATTCGTTTATGCTAGAAATGGGGCAGACGGGACAGGGATACAGGAAGGATCATCATAAGTGGAATAAATGCACTTTTCAGAGTACCCTTACTACATAAATAAAGCAAAGGCCAGAGCCCCTCTATTGTGTTTTATCGATACAGTCGATAGCATCTGCCCAAAATAACAATCGATTTTCGATAAAATCGAAACAAAAAAAACCGTAATTTGAGATCTATTTAGATTTTGCAGCTCTATTGTGGGGAATTGGGGGTTGCAGAATCAAAGGGAAATGAGTCTAGTTGCTTACCTGCAAACCGCTGATCAGTCTGGGTATACTGCACCACTGCGCACTCCGCTCCACCAGTTGATGGCCCAGACAGCTGGCCTTGCCCCAGCTATAGAGCTGCCCATCGGTGGTGAGGGCCATCGAGAACTGGGCGCCGGCAAAGACGCGCTGCACTTTCGGCAGCGATTCCACCAGTACAGGGGACATGGAGCCGTTGAGATTGCCATTGCCCAGCTTCCCGTAGTCGGCATCGCCCCAGGCATAGACATGGCCCTCGGAGGTAAGACATAGAGAGTGGGCATCGCCACTGCCCAGGGCCACGTCGATGATTTCGTGCTCGGTGAGGGCCATCACGACGGTGGGCAGGGGCTGGTCGTCCGAGTTGCCGTGCCCCAGGCGGGCATAGGTGCCCCGGCCCCAGGTGTAAAGGTTGCCGCTGCAGGTAATGGCTGCACTGTAGGAGCAGCCACAGAAGACAGCCTTCACGCATCGATCCAGTGAGTTGATCTTGGTGGGCACGGCCCGGGCATGGGTGTCGCCATGTCCCAAGCGATGATCCTCGCCGTTGCCCCACGAGTATGCATTGCCTGTCCGGTTACAGATTGAGGGTCAGGAGAAAGAAATGGAAATGTAAGTGGACTTACGATTGATGTCAATGGCCATAAAGTGGCGGCCCTCGCAGTGCGAGGCAATGCTGACAATCGTCTCATGGGCAATCTCCTCCAGGAGCTGCGGCTCTGTCTCCGGCTTGAACATCCGCCAGTTGTAGAGCTTTCCCTCCCCGCTGAGGATGAGCACAATGCTCTCGCTGCAGACGATCTGCTGCACCTGGAACTTGCAGTTGAGGAGCGGTAGCGAGGAGGGATCGCTGCTCCAGCTCAGGGCTGGCTCTGCATTGAATCCGTGCTGCTCCTTGGAGAGGCTGGGCCAGCCCAGAGCATAGACCCGCTGTTGGGGCGAGGATGAGCTGCAGCTGCTGCTGGCACTGGCACTGGCGCTAGAGTGGATGGGATAGTGTCCGCGGACGAGACATCGCGGCATCAGCGGCTGGACAAGGCGATCCAAGTGGGAAATGATGACGACGGCGGCACGACGCAGATCAACAATCGCCGCACTGCTCTTGGGCAGCATGAGGAACCGCAAGAAGGTCTCGGTGGCGCTCACCACCGGCAGGGACAAGGACTCGCTGCCATTGGGCACACCGCCAGCCTTGGCGGTGTGTCCAATCCTCTGGTAGCGCTGCAGAATGCGCAACAACGGGGCTCCTGTCTTCCTCGGCATGTCACGGTTGTCGTTGCCTGCTTTATCCTTCTCCCAGAGAACCAGCAGCAGCACCACACACTCAAGGGTGGCGGCCAGTGTGCCCTTCTGGACGCCCAGCTCCAACAGCAGACAGAGGGCCGTATGCCGATCGTTCAGCGGCGCCGTGCAGCGTCCCCCCATGGGATCCCCGAGGGCCACCAGGCGCAGGAATTTGATGGAGCGCTCCATCACCTCCATCCAGAGCGGGGACACTTCGGCCGACTCGAAGAGCGTCGCCTCGGGCAGCTCCTGCAGGGACTCTAGGGCCTCGCTTAGCAATTCGCTGCACATCTCCGTATCCTCGCCCGAGCGCCAGGCGCGACGCAGGAAGGCAAAACTAAAATTGAGGGCAGCTCGCGTGGCCACGCGTGCCAGTCCCAGGGCGGCATGATCCGGCTGCTCCACGTCCTGGCTGGTTGGATCTACCATTGGTACCTCCAGGCTGCCAACAGCAGGAGCTGTACTACCTGGCACGGTGGTTGCCGTCGTTGTTGTGGCGATGGTGGTGCCGGCTGTGCCGCTGGAGGTGCTGGACTGCTGCCGATGGCGCTTCAGGGCCACATAGTAGCGCTCGTAGATGAAGAGCTGCTGGCGTAGGTGCTGGGCGGAGAGGCAGTTGCCGGCTGCCCGCAGTGCCAGTTCCTGCAGCTCTGCGATCAGTGTGCGCTGGCAGTCCTGCTTGGCTGTCAGGGTGGGTGGCTGGCTCCACTGCCAGCTGCTGAGGATCAGATCGGTGGCCTGGCTGCCGTGTGCGGCTGCCTGCTGGGCGGCCGCCGAGGTGAGCTTCTTGATGGCCGTGTCCGAGTCCAGAGGCCGGCAGCTGTCGCAGTTGCAGGCAGACAGGGGGCCGCAGTACTCTGGCTGGCAGCAGGAGCACTTAAGCTGCTGAGCACCGCAGTAGTGCTTGCCATCGTCCCCCAGATAGGATAGCTGGCCGCGGGCATTCACAAGGGGGGCCGAGGGCGAGGAGACCAGTTCGCAGTCCTGGATCAAATGATTCCACAGGACTGCTCCCTCGGAGGCGTTGCGCAGGGACGAAATGAGATCGGCGCGCAGCCATTTGGCGTCCAGATAGGGTAATGGACGAAGATAGAGATCGGGTGAGGGAGTGGGGGCGGTGGCGGCTGTGGTACCAGAGCCTGAACCAGAACCAGATCCAGAGCTCGAGCCGTGACTCTGGGATGGTCCCGGGCCTGAGCCTAAGCCTGTACCCAGAGCCTGTCCGGTGCCTGTTCCACTGCCCTGACGGTTAAACATTTTTCAAATCTTTCTTTCGTTTTGGTCTTCTGCTGCTGCTGTTGCTGCTTCTTCTTCACGTTGTCCTCTAGTTTTCCTCGGCTACACCCACACCCACAGGCTTCAGACCAGCAGTCACAGCAGCAACAACAACATGGCACATTTTCCTTTTTTCCTTGTACGATGCAAGGAGGGAGGGGTGGGAGGAGAGGAGGCTCTGGCTCTGCCGCTGCCAATGTCGTCACTCACACACAGACAACACTCACACACACACACACGCACGCAATTGCAGTCAGAAATTTTGACCCGAGAATGAATCGCAGTTTTTCTTTCGCCAATTTGCACTTGTCTCTTGGTTTCTAGGCTAAAACTATGCTAGTATGGCACGCCAACGTTTTAGTGGCTCAAACGGGCCTTCTATTTCAACAACAACAAGCCAAGTTTATTTAATGCACCAACAAAAATAAATGTTTTTGAATGCGTTTAATCAATTAATAGTTGGGGTCAGTGGATTTATCGATAACATATACCGCCCGACCTCAGAAATATACCGACGTCCGACGATACCGCAAGTATACCGACGAAAAAAACGAACATTTCGATATGCCGTCATATTGTTACCTTTGGTTATCGAATATTCATTCAATACACTTTCATTTTTGGTCACACTTACAGAAATTATAAAAAGTTTTATTTTTAATTTGCAAGCATATTTTCGGTCCTTCCTGCCGTTATCAGGACACTAGAATGCTATCTATAGACTATTACTAAGCCGTACCCCACACTACACACTATGACGTCTCGAAATCTGACGGAGGTATTTGTTATCATGCGTAACAATGCCTCAAAAAATCGAAATCACTACGATGACCGAGTAAGGAGCCCCAAATCAATAACAATGACATCCGTCAATCCAGCTCAATCTTTGAAAAATAACATTTTCAGCGGGGCAGCGATGCTGAGCGCCTGCTGAAGCATTCGGTGCGTGAGGCGGAGGAGGGCCTCGAGATGCAGGACGACTATGGAACACCTCCCACCTGGCTGGACAAGTTCGAGGAGGCACAGTACACCATGTCCAAGTGGGTGATGAAAACTTCCCTAACTGCCATTTGGCATGGACTAATCAGAAGCATCACCCATTACCATTTCAAACAGAATCAAACCAAAGCTGGACGAACTGGGCTCCCTGCATGCCCGCCACCTGCTGCGTCCGACCTTCGATGACCAGCGGGACGACGAATGCGACATCGAGGTGCTCAGCCAGATCGTGTGCAAGCTGATAACATCCACCCACCGGCACATACAGTGCGTCCGCTCCAGCCTAGGCGTGGGCACCAAAACGGAGCAGCGCCTCACCGCCAATGCCGTACACTGTGCCCTGCTCCAGCTCCAGGAGCTGACCTTCAAGTTCCGCAGCAGCCAAAATGCCTACCTGGTGCAGCTCAACTCACGCGAGGAGCGCTCCCAAAAGTACTTTGACAACGGCGACAAGTTCACCAATGTCGAGCTGGGCGGGATGGGGATGGGAATTGGGCTGCCAGGCGGCGACACTGGCGGCGAGGATATTAACTTTGTCGATTCATTCGACAACTTCCTGCAGCCGGTGAATGGCAAGGGCAATGGGAATGGCTATCTGTTCGAGGACGACGACCAGGAGATAGACGATCACTTCAAGAAGCCACTGGCCGCAAATCGGATGACCCAGCAACAGCTGCTGCTCTTCCAAGAGGAGAACTCCAAGCTGGCCGAGCATCGCGAGCAGGAGGTCACCAAAATTGTCAAGTCCATCAATGATCTCAATGACATCTTCAAGGACCTGGGCCACATGGTCCAGGAGCAGGGCACCGTGCTCGATCGCATCGACTACAATGTGGAGCAGACCCAGACGCGGGTCTCCGAGGGTCTGAGGCAGCTGCACAAGGCCGAGATGTATCAGCGCAAGAATCGTAAAATGTGCATCATTCTGGTCCTGGCGGCCATCACCTTCTTTATGCTCCTTCTGCTGATCTTCACGAAGCTCTAAGGGCCCATTTCCATTCCCAGTTCCAGTCAGGCGCATCCTCCCCTTGTCGTGATTGTCGTGTGTACATTGTAAAGGCTTAAATACATGTTATGTTTATTTATTACTAATGTTAGGAGCAAGTTTTTCCTTTCAATGGGGCAGCATTTGATCCTCCTGCGGATGAAAAAAAAAACACCGAAAACCTAGACGCACTTAATCCATAATCACAGCCAGAGAGGCAACTGTCCTACATGCGCTCTGAGAGGCGCGATGCCACGGAGCGCAGATTGCCATAAACCTTGCTGGGCGGCGAGCCAAGGATCAGGTTGCAGATGGCACGTCGCGCCAGCTGGATGTTCTGGTAGCTGCCCAAGATGTGAATCTTGCTGTCGGCGAGCACAATGCGGGTCTTGGTCACGTTCTCGATGGTGAATTTTGTGCGGCCACCCTTGCCAGCCAGACGGCCTATGGCACGCGACTGGTGGTCACCGCGCAGCGTCTTTACGTCCTTGATCTCGAACGTCTCGACAAAGAGATCCTCCAGACGCAGAAGGGCCAGGGCGTCGTCCACCTCGAAGCCACAGAGGAAGGCCTTCACGAAATCGGCACCCTTTTGCAGATTAGCTATATCCGGCGTCTCCGGGCCGACGCGCAGCTCCACCTGGCGAGCCTTCATGTTGAAGCGTATCTGCAGCTTCATGTGCTCCACCACGGGCGTGAAGATCTTCATCCAGTGCTCCTTGAGCGAGGAGTACCTGTGCGGTGGGACCGACACCTTCCTCAGCTCGCTCTTGATCCGCTTCGCGCGGGGTGGGGCCGATGCTTGGGTCGACCCAGCGACAAGACCCTCGATGCCTGTGGCTTGGTCCACCTGCATCTCCGTGTCCTGGGTGTTGACCGCACTGCGCTTCTGTGCCTTCTTGGCCGGCACAAAGGCTTCCACGTTAATGTTTTCAACCTCCATCCTGTTTTGTCCTGGTGTTTTTGGAATTTGCGTTGTTTTCTTTGGAATTAATTCAATTTCCACGTGCGGATCTGACCCTCAAAAATATACATAAATATACCATCTCATTATAAAAATATACCGTAAATATACTGACGAATTACAGATCTACCTTACATATTCCTCGTCTTTGATATTCCGTGAAATATTACCATCTATATAGAACATTTAGCCATGCCCACATAATTTTATACGATTGATGAATCAATTTTCTACTTGACTGGCTTATTCTAAACACTTGCTTTTATTGGATTTCTATATACCGTTGAAAATTAAATTTAATAGATTGATGAAATTGACAAAATATGCCATTATATACCGATATGCCGTAAATATACCGTCGGTTAAATTTCGACTTCACAAAATGCCGAAAAGTATTAAAAATACCAGAAACGGTCACGCTGCGTACTGATGTGACCCTCAAAAATATACCGAAAAGGTCACAAATTTCAAAATATCCCGTATATTTACTGACGAATTACTTCTATTCAAGTTGAATAGCTAGCTAGAACCTGAGGGTCTCAACTAAAAATATATCTGATTATTAAATCAATTTCCTACAAGAATGGTTAAATGTAAGTTTTCATCTTTATTGCGTTGCATATAAAATCGATATCGGCCATCGATTCTATCGACTGGATGTGAGTGCGCGCCAAAGAGTGTTTGAAAGTGAATGGTTGATGAAATTCTGTCCAACTGGGATACGAACCACAACAGAAAATATAAATCCAAACTCTTAAAATAAAAAAAGCGCAATTACATGTGTTGTGCTAACACATGCAAAGCGTTGAAGGGCTGGCTGTCTCATGATGAAGCGGCGGTAGCCGAACGCCAGACCCTGGGATCTAATCCAGAACGTCCGTTTCCGACATGTTTGGTGTATGAACTGGCACATCTGTATGGTTACTGTATGGTTAGAGCTTCAACTCAATTTCGACGTCATGTCGTGCCATAAATTTATGGAAAGCGCAAACGTAATTGATAATCATAAACTATGTATATTTCTACATAAAAAAAGTTCGGTTTTGGTCTAGTTTTTTCGCCTTCTTGGCCTGCTTCTTAAGGTATTCGCTCTTGTCGAGATTGTTTTGGAAGAACGTCGTCTCCTTGCGGGCCTGTGACACCTCTGTTTGCAGACGTTGCTTATGCACCGCCTGCTCATAGTTCATCCGTTCGGTGAGATGGACCCACTTGAAACGTGGCAAGTACTTCATGCTCCACAACGAATCGTAGAACTGGGAGCTCTTGCGCGTCGAGATTTGTTTGTTGTTCAGAAGAGGTACAATTTGCTTGGCTACACGCTTCGACTCGAACTCTACCCAGCCCTCGGTGAAGTGAATGTTGTAGCGCTTTCGCTTGTTCTTCTTGGCCCTGTCACCTATGGGCGAAAAGAAGATAATAAGTAATCTGTGGCTTGTAAGGAACGTGCTTTCACTCACTTGACTGCTTCTCTGGCTGGAGATAGACGCGTCCGATCTTACCGCACTCCCCCAGGATCTCGCGCAGGCGCGTCACGTTCATGTGTCTGGGTATGTTCGATATGTAAATAATGCCCTTCTTGCGTTTCTTTTTCTGAATAGTGGCGGAAGAGCTTGCTTTGAAGTTGGCCAAGTCCATTTCATCATCGTCATCCGATGCATCTGCCTCCTCTTGGACCTCTTCGTCTGAAGCCGCATCACTGTCCACGTTCATCGATTCGGCTGGAGCTGGTAGCTCTGGTTTTGATTTTGTTTTGGTTTTAGTTTTTTGCATCTTAAATTCTCGTGGTGCCGTTTAGGGATGTGTACTTATTGATATATCAATCTATCGATATATGATAATAAGGTGAAGGTGATAATTTTTTGGACTGGTTCAAACATTAAAACGGAAATTTTTGTGGGACATATTATCGGTGGAACAACTTTTTTTATTTTTGCACTATTTCTCTTTTGTTTTACGTTGTTAGATCTGCCCACTTTTGCTCCTAGTCATCGATGCACAGGGCAGATACAAAAAAGTATCGGTACTTTTGTGCGATAGGCGGAAAATGGGCGCTATTTTTGAAAATAACATATTATAGCCGACTTTGATTGTTATTTCAATACTTCAAATGATTTCAAAAAAGTCTTAACCTTTAATTAAATATTCTTGATTAATTTGTTAATTTATTTTATTTGAAGGATATATAATATAGAATGGATCTTATGGCCCACATGGAAAGACCGCATAATAGTGCGAAGAACTCGAAATAAATGATATGATAGGAGACTAGCTGCTATTTTATTGTTGGTATTTTACTGCACAAGACTATTTCTGATTGAATTGTGCATCGTAGATGCATTTTTGGATAGCTAAACTATTTATTAATATGTGTATGTACGGAAACTAAATCTCTGGCAACTTTCTGGCCACAATAACCGGATTGTCACGACGGATCTGATTGGCACCCATTTCGCGGTAGTCGAAGCTGCACTCATGGCGGTCACTGTAGCGATGGACGGCGCAGTAAATGCCACCACAACGGCATTCGAACGCCCCAGCCAGACCCAATTTCTTGCCACATTTTTGGCAGCGATTCTTCTTCACCGCTGGCGCCTCTTTACTTGTATCCTTCTGTTCCTCCTTGGTGTTATCCTTCGGTTCGCCATTCTGTTCCGTTGTCTGGGTATCCTGAATTGTTTGTTGCTGTTCGTTCGCCTCGTACGTGTCCGAGTTGTCGACACAGAGACCATGGGACATTAAAAAGCTAGACTCCAGTGACTGACCCAGTCGTACGGTTGAATCGCTGATTGTGACTACATCTTTCTCCCCTTCCATGTTCTGAAGAGCGGCTATATTCGGCTTGTGAAAGCTGTGTGCTTTTGAAGATTTCATTTTTTCAAACGGCTTCGCTGTTCAATGACGACGCATCGTCTGTTTTGTTTCAACATAAATGTGTATTTTTTCGGGATTTTGGCAGCTATCTCCTATCCAAAAAAGGTCAAGTTACGCTGTACTGCGCTCAGCCTACTGCTACCCACAGCCGATCCGATGTGGACGTCTCCTAGGCATTTCCGTTGATGACATCGGCCATGTGCCGGCGATACCAATCGCCCACAGGTGTCTTCAACACACAGGCGAAGGCTCTGTAGCACCAGTCCGAGACTCCATGCGACACTCTTCGCGCCTTCGCATTGCACCCATTGATGGCAGGGAGTGCCTGCTCCACATTCAGGCGTCGCGGTCCTCCAAAACTGTGGACGATGCCGAGGGCATCGAAGCCGGTGCCGTCGTGCCACAGCTGCAGGCGTGACCAGAAACAGTGGATGTATCGCTGCACATGCGGCAGATTCTCATACTGCATCCGATCCATGCGCATTCGCTGGGCGTGACTCAGGTGCGCACTGCACTGGTCACGGGCCCGTAGCAGTGCCAGCGACTGGGGGGCTCTCAGTGGGGGGGTGGGCGTGGGTCTGGCCATAGCTCTGGATTGCAGCACCTGTAATTGCATTTAGCGGTAAACTCAAGAGAACATGTGTCTTCATTCAGTTTTTCAGAGGAGGGTAAAACGATTGCGATCCATAAAGCATATTCTTGTTCGTTTGTAAGTTTCCTCACTTTACGTACAAGTGCAGTACGAGTACTTACTAGACTTACTTACTAGACAGTACACAATTAGGAACCACTATATCAAAAATATGCATCTTTCCAGCTGTTATGGACACAAGATGGGTATCAGAAGTGTTTCTCCTGAGCTCCGCAAATGTTAAGGCCTAAAGCTATTGGGTAATACTTATTGGAAAAGTACAATTGGTTATGCAAACTCCTATTCCCCTGGAAAAGCTATTATTGGATTATAAACCAGCAACCGGTTTGTGCACCCCGCCGGTGTGGGGTGAATCTGTTGCTCGAATTCGTTAATCTTCATGTCATGGAGATTACTCACCCCCAGCGGCCCCAGTAGCAGCAGCAGCAGCGGCAGGCAGATCAGCGACCGTTGGCCCATTGCGATCTGTAGGTCTCGCCTCCGCTGTAGTTGCAAAACTGCACTAAGCTGTAGAGAGCCGGTGTCTCGATAGCGATGCTGGACAATAATTTAAGCTTATCTGGACTATAAAGATTATACAATCTGCGCCTCCCATTACCATGTGTTGATGATGTCAGAGCTGTCCCGACGGCGGAGGGGGAGGGGGAGGGGAGGGGGAGAGGTGGGAGTAATCTTAGTGCGATAGAAATCAGCTAGCAGAAGCCTCCACTTCACTTCGCCTTCCTCCTCCACTCAAAGTTTTGAAGCGAAATTGGCAGTCGCAGCTGCCGTTCGTCATCTGTTTTATGTTAACACATAAGTCGCGGATCTGCGTTCCGAGTGTTCGTTCAGGTCTTCTTCAGACATCGCTATATGGATCGCCTAGATCATGTGCATATGGAACGCAACGGCAGCGGCAACGGCAACGGCATTTTCGTAACATTCCACACTCGCATTTTGGTTGTAAACAAGATTTTCTTTTTTCTTTCATATAATTTGTTGATTTTTTTCTTTCGTATGTGGAGGAGGATAGATGGTCGCGGCCTCAGGTGGGGCAGGGACCTTGCGAATGGCGCAGAAGGCTAAATCCATACCCAAATCGAATCCACATCCCCATTGGCATCAGCATAGCCATCCCACATTCAAAAGCAAATCAAATCGAATTCGCTTCGACAGGCAACCGCAACGAGTGCAATAAAATTGATTGCGTTTAAGTGTATTAAAATCAAATGCGAAATTTACCCGCCACAAATATGTTGATTCAATGCCCCGGGCCAGGCCTGGAGAGTAGGCCCTCTCTCTGCACGGGGGAAGATTTCGAAATAGCGGAGATTTCAGTTGGGAGAAGAAAGCCCAAGAGAGGCTTCAAAAGGGAAATTTCCCATGGGAATTTAACTGTTCCCCAGTCAGTAAGGAGCAAATGTTACTGTAAGACCCAGAATATTTGAGAAATCATCTATTGACACATGGTATCTGGTCAAATGATCAACTGGAATAGTCTGTCCAGCAGATCATACCACAAGGAGAGCAGTTTTCCATCTTCCAAACGAAGGTAAAGGTTAGTTAGAGGCACTTTGCGTGAGATCATCCAGAGTAGCGAAACTTGAGAGTAAATCTATTATTAGTTGGTTGAAATATCCTTAAATATTGTGGAAATTTTCGTTTATACGTCCTTGCTCTCAACTGTTTCCATCGCTTTACATTGATGCTTGACTCAATATACACGTCGTGTGCATGACGCGGCGCATTGATGCTCAACTAGAGTGTCGATTTTAAGGGTTTTCTTCTGTTGTTGGACTGCTCCCAAATCCAGAAAGTATGCCACCCACCGCTGTTTTATTCCATCATCTAGGAAGTTTTTGAATAAGGTTCCGATCCTCTACTTATTGACCTTCGTATACCTTTCTTCTCGGTAGGTTTCCACTTGCTTAATACGTGATACATATGAACTGGAAAACCAATTAAACTCAAATGAATGGTGACTGAGTCTTGGGGGCCGGCTATCCAGACCATTTCCATTCACAGCAATCTACAGATGCATCTGCATCTGTTGCTCTTACGATGACTATGTATGTACATAGATATCTTCAATCAACACAATTACCCTTCCATGTCGGCACGGGTGCATCTTTACGCTTGCAATGGGCCACGCAAACAGTTCACCCGATCTCCTACTGCGCCTACTATTCTCCCATGCCCTCCCATCCTCCATGTGGCGATGGGGGCAACAGGGTGCGGCTGGGGGTGAGGTTCATTCAACGCCAAATTTGCCGCCATCAAGTGGGGCCCAACCTTCGCCTTCGCCCCTGCCTCCGCCTCCGCTTGCTCCGTCTTCCGGCTGCCATGCTGCAACACCCCCACCAGCCCCCGCCCCGTATGCTGCCGTGACAAAGACGCGAAAAATTTTAATTGCAAATTTTTTTTCCTCGCTTGTCGTCGTCTTTGCTGGTCGCATTGCATTTTTGCCTACCTTAAATTATAAGTAAAATTTACAATTTTTAATTGACTCTGAAAATTAAAAAAAGATAGAAAAGCAAACACCAAAAACCAAAGAAAAACATCAGCTACAGCAACAACAACAACAGAAACATGGCATAGATTTTTTGTTTTCAGCAAATTTTCATAGATATTTTGATGCGGAATACGAAACATAGGGTATAAGCGGTGGAGTATGGACGCCACAGGTGATTGGGCCTTTAGTAACGAAAAGGGTATCATTTTGCCGAGACTTGTTGGCAGCGTACAGCGTACAGCCCCTCCCCGCGCCCACCTATTTGTTTTCCTATTTTGTTATAATTTTGCGAAAAAATTATTTTCGGTTTTTCGTGTGTGAGGGCTTCTGCATTTGCCACACGGCTTATACGTGCTTTCATTTCGATTGACTGTAATTATTTTCCCCTCCGCTGAGGTTGCGAACTACCGCTCTCTCTCGCTCTCTCCGTCTGTTTGCCTCTCTCGCGCAGCGGAAGCGCTAGTGCAACGCCTGGAGTGGCGCCACCTGACAGCAGCAACTGGCAAAATTAGTTGCGGTTTCTTTTTGTGGGGATTCGGATGCGGATTTTTTTGGATCTGATGCGGTTCTGCCGCAGCGGATCTGTGGCAACTTTGTGACATGGACGACGACATGGCAATGAGCACCGGCTACGCGATGGCGCCAAATTCCTCATTGCCAGCGGAGCGCAGCGAAAACGCGTCAAAGCGCCAATAAAATGTGGTTTGGTTTGGTTCCTGTGGCCATTTGCATATTTTGCAAGCCATTTGCATACATCGAATTTTATTATAATATTTTGGTTGATTTTGTTTTGGTTTTTTTTGTGTGTTTATTTTGTATATCATTAAATTAAAGTTGTTGTTGGTGCCACTGCCACACTGCCACACAGCCACTGCCTCTGTGCTTGGCATTAGCTGTCGGAAGGCGAATTTTGAGCCAATTTGCAGACTGCATTTGGCCTGACGACTCTTCTAATGCACGTGAGCCGTCTTCGTCACCCGTCCCGGTGCTGCGAGGCGGACGGACGGCAGTCGCGGATGGAGGCAGCGGCCACCAGGCGGTGGCCAATTTGCAAGTTGTCGAGTGTATTAGGTATATTTATTCGCTGTCTGCAAGTATATGCTTGCTTCATGATCAGAAAGATGGAAATTCGCTGCTGTATCATCAGTGGGAAAGGAATTAGCATGGGGCATTGCCAGAAGCGAAATGGATCAGAGATCGGGAGCCAGAACGGCGGTCTCTGCATATTAACCTCTCACTTTATTTATAACGATTCCGCCTTGTAACTCTCCTGGAGTCACTGGAGTCGCCCTATCTGCTGTTGGTGAATAAATGGGAAAAGACTATGATCTGCGATCGATTGGGGCCCAGGGTTCTTGGGCTCTTGGACTTGGGATCCCCCCTCGAACACCCTTTAGAAAAACCCCAAAATCGATTCGAAGAAAACCGAAATCTTTATTGGATTCAGACTGGAGCATCGTGGGACTTGATCACCAGCGGCTCGTTGGGGCAGTTGAAGGTGATCTCAATGCCATTGGGCAACCAGTTTCTGGACCAGATCTTCACTTCGCACACTTTGGTGACGCCATTCGGTTCAACTAACTCCACGATGTACGAATTCAGGAAGCCGGAGACCACCTGCACGGTGGCCGACATGATTTTCGAGACTCTAAATGTGAGGACATCGAGGATCAATTGATGGCATGTCGTAGAATTCTCCCTAAATGCCTTACCGGTAGCTAGGTCCCTCGCCAGCGGCCAGTGTGTCCAGGGAGTAAGTCAGAGTCGACTTTGCGGAGTCTAGCTCCGATCCACTTAATGTTTTGGGTGCACCGAAGCCACCGATGGATGGGGGGACTTCATCTCCATCTCCGTGAGGACTTCCACTGACCAGAGCACAGGCCAGTGCCAGGCAAATGAACAGAGACTTGTCGTTGAACATTTCGTTTGATTTTCAAAACAATCACTGATATGTGCTCCGCGGTACGAGTCGATCTTTATAGGCAGAATCCTCTCTCAAGATTGAGTGTGTCAGAGATCTGTGGGTCATGCTTCAATGCTCCTATCTTCAATTTGATAATGGAACTTAATTTATTTTGTTTGGATCGTTCATATTTTCATACGTACATACATTCATTACCAATCCGATGGATTTTACAGTGCGTTTCAAAAAAGACTTGCGTTTTTTAAATGGGATTATCCGTTTGCTATTGATTTTTGGATATTATAATACAGATGATATTATAATGGTTGATCTTTGCAATCAACTGCCTACCGTATGTAGGTATGTGGTTTTTTCAGGTAAAGTTTCACCTGCTTGAAGCTTGAATTCTACAGATTCTGAATCTTGTTAAGACGTCTTTGTTGAACCAGAAAGCCCTGTACAATAGTCGTGGGGTCATTGCTTGGGGTCGTTACTTCCGCACACTCACGACGCGCCGTCAGCGAGGGTATTATGTATTAATCAAAATGAATCGCTTCAAAGTACAAAATATCAGCAAAAGTCGAGTGACTTTAAGCCACCCCGGCAGACACACACAAGCACTCGAAGAGCACCGCTTCCTCCGATGAATCGTTCATCATTCCATACGGCAGTGGCACCGGCAGCATTCTTGGCGCAACTCCAGAGCGCTGTCAGAAGTGCACAAATCCATGCCGATTTGTATGAACAACATACGTGGATACATCTAGAATGTACAGATGCCTGCATGTACATCCGCCAGCCGACAAGTCGTCCGTCCGGCCCGTCCGCTCGTCGCCCATCCATCCGTCTATCCCATCCATCCATCCCATCCATCCATCCGACCGTCCATTCAACTAGGGGCCCCGTGCATTTTTGTCAGATCACGAACCAAGTGCTGTTCATCGTCCATCCCATCCCATCCCATCCCATCCCATGCCATCCATCCATCCATCTATAAGGGGACAAGGATCGCAATTGGAATCGGGAATAATGATGCCACATGATGCTCCTTTGCCCCCTCAGACCCCTTTTGACGGGGGGCTGTCCGTCTGTACGTCCCA